GTGTTTGTAAATAGGATATCATGTTGCATCATGTACAGCAATTAACCACTAGGAAGAATGTATGCAATGTGTTAATTATTGAAACTGTCCTACCAATTTGTTTTGAAACTGTCTCATTGCTATTTGTTTCTCAATAAAATTATGGGGAAAAAAACGTTTTCTTTAGCTATTTCTAAATTTCTCCCTAACATTATACCTCACAAGTTTAGCACTTTCTGTTATATCTTTTCTAGCTTGAGCCCAGGGGTACATCTCCTGTCATTCTTAACATTCCTCTCAGTCACATCTGTGCCACTTACAGAAACGAACAATTAGAAGAATTCCAATCCAAGGGCTGGCCAAATAGCTCAGGATTAAAGTTCCTGCAAGCAGGCACAGGGGCCAGGGGTTCAATCCCTGGGCCTCCCATGCCATCCCTGCCCCAGAACATGCTGAGATGACAATTAAGACTGGGCCTGGTGGTGCACACCTGTAATCCCAGCACTTGGGAGGCTGTAAACAGGAGAATCACTTTGAGTCCGATCTAGTAGTGAGACCCTGAACACCCTGTAGACCCTTCCCTAAAAAATATAAAGAAAGAATTCCAATCCAGTATGCATTTACCAGTACCACAAAACAAAACAATACTTTATTTTATTCTTTTTTTAAATTTACTAATGTGACATTTGTATCTCATTTATATCTTTTACCTGTATCTGTAGCAGTGTCATATTCAAAGAAAAATAGAATTTAAATTTGATAACCAATAAGTCAAATGTTAGAAACTATGGAAAAATGTTAATTTTCTTTAGATGACACATTACTCTTAGTAAAAATTTTTATTTATTTATTTTAGTCTTTATTTATTTGGTATAAGGCCTTGCTATGCAGCTCGGACTCAGTGATCCCCCTATCTCAGCATCCCCAGTGCTTGACTTACAGGCATGAACCACCATACCCAGTTTCAGTGGCCAGCACTATGTGTCCAAAGTTCTGGGGCCAACATGGGATGTGGTACTTGGGATCGAACCCTGGTTCTTGTGCTTGCCAGGCGGGCACTTAGACTGCCAAGCTATCTCCCCAGTCCCTAAAATTTTATTCTTGTAAAGACCAGTTTGTTCAGTTTTCCTATGTCTTCCATATGTATAGCATTTCAGAATATGTACTGAAACAAACTTTTTTTTTCAAACTTTTTTTATTTGTATGTATTTTACTGTTTTTAAAACCCAAGGCTGTGGATGTAATTCAGTGGTAGCATTCCTATCATGTGTGAGGCCCTAGATCAATTCCTAGCACAGGCAAAAAAGGAAAGAAAATCACTTGGATGACAGTATTTCCAAAATTGAAGAAATAAGGGTTTGCAAAGGAAGGAAGTCACAGATTACAAATCAAGACTTTTGCTTCACTTATATTTTTATTGAGCGTACTTGGACGTTTGGTTTTCAACTGCAGCTTGTTATAAGATCCAGAAACAATGAAACTATCATTGTCCTTATATGGGGGCTGGAGAGATATATCAGCAGCATAAGTATCTGCCTGACAAAGCAAAGCAAAGTCCTGAGTTTAATCCCTGCAGAGAGAGAGAGAGAGAGAGAGAGAGAGAGAGAGAGAGAGAGAGAGAGAGAGGAGAGGTGTCCAAACATTCATTGTGTTAAAATGCTTAAATCCTTGCATATAACACAGAAAATGTTTACATCCTTAAGATATAACATAGTATTACACAAATAACTACGAAGTTACTGTATCAAAACTTTGATGTCATGTTTTCCTTTGAATCTGATAAAACACAGTCTAAAGCAGACTCATTTGCCCACTGCCAGTTGCAGAATTAGTTACACAAAATACAGTGAGGTAAAGATGAGTTACAAGGCTGGGAGATTGTGCCTGTAGTAAATAATGTTTTCTAAAAATGTCCATAATTTTTTAGAGAAACCTCCCTCTAGAGGTGATGTCTTTCCCCCCTAGAAATTGAGCCCACCTACCTGGCTATCTACAAACGAACAGTGCAGTGACAGGCTAGGTCCCTTCTAGGACATCTCTGCACTCAGCAAACATGCTGTAAAGAAGCCCAGGCCACCTGGAGGAGCTCTATGCAGGTATTTGAGCTTGGAGCCAGAAAATACATAATTTCCTTCTCTGATGTAGATCCGAACATTAGAACACATCATTTTATATTAGCATATTTTATTAGTCATAATAGGGGAGGAGTTTCATAAGCTATTAACTATATATAATACATCATATTTTTATAAAATTCCAGGGGGGCTCTTTCTGGCTGGAACCATGGAGGTTGCAGAAGAGAAGAAAAAGAAGGTTCCTGCTGTGCCAGAAACCCTTATGAAAAAGTGAAAACATTTCGCAGAGCTAAAGATAAAATGCCTGAGAAAGAAGTTTGCCCAGAAGATGCTTCGCAAGGCGAGGAGGAAGTTTATCTATGAAAAAGCCAGGCACTATCATAAGGAGTACAGACAGATGTACAGAACTGAGATCCGAATGGCTAGGATGGCGAGAAAAGCTGGCAACTTCTATATCCCTGCAGAGCCCAAACTGGCATTTGTCATCCGGATCAGGGGTATCAATGGTGTGAGCCCAAAGGTACCCAAGGTGTTGCAGCTTCTTCGCCTTCGCCAAATCTTCAATGGTACCTTCGTTAAGCTCAACAAGGCTTCAATTAACATGCTAAGAATTGTGGAGCCATATATTGCATGGGGGTACCCAAACCTGAAGTCAGTGAACGAACTAATATACAAGTGTGGCTACGGCAAAATCAATGAGAAGCGAATTACCTTGACAGATAATTCATTGATTGCTCGATCTCTTGGTAAATATGGCATCATCTGCATGGAGGATCTGATTCATGAGATCTATACTGTTGGAAACCGCTTCAAAGAGGCAAATAATTTCCTGTGGCCATTCAAGTTATCATCTCCTCGAGGTGGAATGAAGAAAAAGACCACCCATTTTGTGGAAGGTGGAGATGTGGGAAATAGGGAAGACCAGATCAACAGGCTTATTAGAAGGATGAACTAAGGTATCTACCATGGTGTTTTTATGATTTGGTCAGTTAATAAAGTATCTGTTTCCAAATTGAAAAAAAAAAAATTCCAGGGGGCTAGAGAGAGATGCAACAAATAAAGAGCTAGGAGCCATCAACGCTAAGCCTTCCGTACCTGGGAGGATTTTTCTATTACTGGAGACTGAAATTTAACCCCAGGCCCTTGCATTAAGCTACATCCTGAGCCTTGCCCTTTCCGCCCTTTTTAAATATTTGAGATCAGTTCTCCATAAATTGCTAAATTACCCACGCTGGTCTTGAACTTGCCAACCGCCTGCTTAATCCTTCCAGACTGCCGAAAAACTGCTGCTGCAGCTAGTGTCTTTCCACCCTGCTCTCGCGACCCCAAGTCGAGACACACCTACAGACGCCAGTCAGCCCCGCCCCTTGCCGCCCTTGCCTCCCCTCTGCAGCGCTTGCGGTGACCATGGCAACGCGGCAGCTGTCGGCCAACTGCCGGAGCCCGGACTGGGGGCGGGGCCAGGCAGACTTGATCACGTGACGTGGGCGAGCTTGCGTGGGGCTAGCCTTAGGGTGACCGGAGCCGGCGCGGCGGGGCGCGGAGACCCGGCCCGCGGGAGCTAAACGAAGGCAGAGCCGAGGCCGCAGTGCCCCTCTGAACCTTCCCAGCCGCCGCCATGGGCAGTGAGTAGCGGCGGCTGCAACGGGGCCCCGGCGGGGCGCGGGCTCAGCCTGGGCTGCGGGCGGCTAGGCTGGTGCCCTCTCGGGGTCGTCCAGTCCTCGGGCCGCGCTGGGTGGCTGCGGAGGGCGAGGGCCCGGGGGCCTCCGCGGAGCTCCGCAGGTCGAACGAGGCCTGGCCCGGGCCGGCAGCCAAGCCTGGACCCCGAGGCCCAGAGCTTGTGCTCGATAGGTGACGGGGAGCAAGGATCCTGCCACGGGGATCCCGTGGGTGCTGAGAGCTGGGAGTTAGGGCACTGGGCCGGACCAGGAGCACTTGTTATTTTCCTGGGCCGTACGGAGCTCATGTTTTCATTCCCTAGTCGCCCTTCCTGGGCCCAATAGTTGTGACGAAGAAGGCTTCTTAAATCGTTTAGTTAAAACCAAGAGGAAAGAAAAGTGATGCATGGCATGTGTTTTAGGGGAAGATATGGGTAACTCACCATTTGCCTTAAAATGTTCATTCCAGTCATTCCGTAGTGTTTACTGAAAACTGGAAGGGTGTGAGCTTTAGGGACAAGGCCTCTCCCCAAAAAACTCAACCCCACCCCCTGTATTCGCAACCTAGGTGTTCACTGTTCGTTGGATGGATGAGTACCCAAGGGGGGTGCGCCCATTGGCCAACTAGTGGACACTGGGGAGAATTAGAAAGGAAGTAGAGGAGACCCTGGCCTTGTATTTACGTATGAGTAAAATTATCCAACACAAGGATAAACAGGTGGCAGAGGACAGCATTGCTTGAACAGGAATGTCCCTGTACAGATGACCGTAAAATGCAAAGAAATCTAGGAAAGTGTCTAGGATCCAGGTGAGAAGGGAAGGAGCTGAAGAAATTTGAGGAAGTTTAATGATGATGTTGGTAGTTGCTTCTCATTAGAGTTAAAGGCCTTCACAATTCAGACTTTCCAGATAGCAAAATAGTACATGGGTCACGAACATGTCCGCTAAGTTATTGAACTTTTCTGTCAAATACCAGGAATTTCTGTCATTTTTGATAGGTTTTTCAGCAGCTCAGTAAAGAGATAGGAAAGATGAAAGAAGCCTTCATTAAGCCCAAAGACGGAGAGGAGCAAGGGCCTATGAGGCCGGTAGATCCTCTGGCCTGAGAGGATGAAAGCTGAGGCTTTCATGGACTTTTGTTACTGGTGAAGTTTGAGGGGATGTTTAGAAATATCTGAGGAGCCTGTTAGGGTCTTTCCTGTGGTGGCCACTTTCCTAGCCACTGTACCCTGGGCTGGGTTGGAGCAGAAGGGGGAAAATGGTCTCTGGGAAGATAAATTGTATTAAGGGCTTCAGCCATGTTAGATGACCACCATAATAATCCAGCAATTTATGCTAGGGCCAGAACCTATCAATTTTGCGAGCTTTTTTAAAAAACATAATGTAGCCAAGTTTTGCCTGTGGAGGTGTTATTGGTGTCAGCCATAAAACCATTTCAGGATGTTAGTATACAGAATACAGTCCCTGTAGGAAAGAAGATAGAATTCTTAACTCTGTGGTGTGGGTGTCTGCACAGCAGGCTCTTTGGGTAAAAGGCCGAAGCGTGAGAGGTTGTCTTCATCTTCTAGGTCTCTAGCAGGCTTTGACCTGAGTTACAAGGTGGTGCTTCTCCACAAAGAACTTTGGTCTATCTTACTTTTATATACTGAAAAGAGTAGTCTGGGAAAAAGTAGCACTTTCTGATGAAATGTTGTCATTCTCTGGGCTCATACTTGTAAGCAAGTAGTCTTGAGATCTTTAGTTGAGAGAATGACACAGCAAGGAAATGTGGCATAATGAAATGCAACAGAGATTGTATGGTTTTAAATTTTAACTATAGAAATGAGTTTTTGATCCCTCTCCCTTGATAAAGTTTGACATTTTTTAGGTTTTTAAAGTCAGTTCTGCAGGTTAAGTCCATTTCCTGTTCTACTCTCCTCAGTGGAGAAGCCATATTTTCTCTTCTCTGCCTGTCTCCCTGCCTGCCTGCCTGCCTGCCTGTCTGTCTGTCTGTCTTTTTGAGACAGGGTCTCACTATGCAGTTCAGGCTGTCCTTGAACTCACTTTGTAGCCCACACTGGCCTTGAACTTGCAGTGATCCTCCTGCCTCAGCTTCCTGTATGCTGGGATTAGAGGTTTCTGTCATCCACACCTGTTTTCTTCTATAATGTGCTGCCTTGCAATTATCATAGTAGACTGCATGCTCACTTTCTTTCTTCTTCCTTCTTTCCTTCCTTTCTTTCTTTTTTGACATAGTGATATTGTGAATAATTCCTTTTCTATATATCTAAAAGGACTGGATAGAAACATGAGGAATCCAAGTCATGATTACTTTGTTTCTATCCCTCATACCTTTTGGGTTCTTTTTTTTTTCTTGAGTTGTATCTCTTCCTTTATAGTCTCACTTGAAATGAATAGCATAATGTTTCTTTAATTTCAAGGGAAGGGGCAAATTACTATTTGAAATTAAAGGACATTTATATTTGATTCTGTAAAAAGATTGATCTTTAAAAACATTTATAATATAGATACTTTTTTTCCCTAACAGTCAAGTTTTTAGAAGTTATCAAACCTTTCTGTGCAGTTCTACCAGAAATTCAGAAGCCTGAAAGGAAAGTAAGTATAATATTTTAGTAATTTAGAAGGGTAGCTGAGGTCTGGGGATATAGCTCAGCTGCACAAGCACCTGCCTGACAAGTACAAGGTACCAAGGTCCATTCTGGGTACCTCCCTCAAAAAAAAAGTAGAAGGGTAGCTGAATGACTTACTCTGCTAAACCAACAAGATTAACCTTCCCAGTACTTTTTTTGTTTGTAATTAGAAAAATATTACCTGCTCATCCTCTTTGGAACAGAGTAACTAAAAATGGGACAGAGTTGCTGAAATCTGCTTAAGTTGTTTATACTTTCAAAAATGATAGTTTTCAGGGGCCAGGGAGATAGCTCAGTGGCTTAAGCGCAAGGTCCTGAGTTCAATCCCTGGTACCAAAAAAAAAAAAAAAAAGAAAAATTACTTTTTAAAATTTTACTGTTTTCAGGTCAACTGTCTCTGGCCTGTATGTTGGTGAAGATGCATACAGTATGCTCTTGTCCACAGTGGTCTTTTATAATTTCATAGTGTGGAGCGGAGTGTTGTACTTTGCTGCACTCCACATGGCCCAGTCTGGTGGGTTGGTTTTGAGGAGTTCAGCCATTTGACATATATGAATTCTGATTGTATATGTACATTGCATGTGTTGATTCATCCAATGGAAAGAAAAATGACTGGAATGCATTGGAAGATCTTGTAACTGCATTAGCAGAACTAGGGACAGAAAAAAATAAGTAAAACATCTATTAAATTTACATTTTATTTAGAATTTTCTCTTAATGATTTGAAATGGTAAAGGTAATCAATTCCTCTTATATTAAAAGACCCTAAGAAACTTTTTACTATTGGGAAATATCCTAGACTTCCTATATAATATTTTTTAAAATTTATTTTTATATGAAGTAGGAGTTTAATATAAATACAACCAGCAGAGAAAAGCTCAAAATCAGAATGACAGCTGGTAGGATGGAAGGGCAGAAGTTGACCCTTTGGCTCAGCCAAAAGAATGGCCAAAGAGAAACACTGGAGTTAGATAGACCCTGGGTCGTAAGGGTAGGGTGCCTCACCCCAAGCCAAATCTGAGCAGTCCTCTGGTGTTACTTGGGCCCTGCCCCACTCCCTATCTGAGGATCAGCTAGCTGCTGCCCAGAACTGCTGGGCTGAGGGCTGACACAGGTCCTTCCTGCTGTTCAAGAACAACCCTGGGCCATGCTGCCATATATTGCAAAGCTGTGTAATATAGGGAGTCCTAGATGTGCATGAAACAGTGTTAACTGAAATGCATGTGGCTTTTGCTTTGCCTCGTCAGTTTTCTTTACCATGGTACAGTGCACGTGAAAGTTGCCTCTATCTAAATCACCTTTTTGAAAACTAAAGAACTACAGACATGTTTGAGAAGGTCAGCTGTTTATTTCAGCTGTTGCAGGTCACATTTAAATAGTAGATAATAGGAGCATGTCAAGAAGGGGAATAGTGGTTAGACTTTAAGGAGGATTTTTGCTTTACATTTTGTATTTATTGGTTTGGGTTAATTATTCTTTATGTTTTGTTGTACAGATTCAGTTTAGAGAGAAGGTATTATGGACTGCTATAACTCTCTTCATTTTCTTAGTATGTTGTCAGGTATGTAACCGTAATATCTGTACTGTTCTAAGATCTTGACGAGTTAGATTTTGAGAACCATATTTTAGTGAAAATAATAAATGCAGTGAAATATATTGTGTGTGTGTTACTGAAGACAATCAGGACCTTGTACATGCTAGGCAAGAGTTCTACCACTGAGCTATTCTTCAAGCTCTGATGTGAATTATTTTGATAGTAAAAGTGCTTACCATCTTTGTGTATTTCTTATGGTTAACTAGTAAGTTTAAACATTTTTCTTTTTTGTTTTTAGTTCATGGTTTCTGCCCATTTTTTCCTTGAGAGGCTTCATTCTTGTTCTTACTGCTTTAGTATAATTTTGTTTTTATTTTGAATCTAGGACTTTCACACTGAGACACACCTCTAGACATTTATTTATTTATTTATTTATTTATTTATTTATTGTATCAGAGATCGAACTCAGGACCTTGTGCTTGCCAGCCAAGTGTTTATGCTGCTGAGCTGTCTCCCCAGCCCCTCCAGCCCTTTTTATAGTTTTTCTTTTGAGACAGGGTGATGGCAAATCTTTTTGCTACTTAGGCAAGACTTGAGCTTGTGTTTTCTGGCCTCTGCCTCCCAGAGTGCAGAGATTGCAGGCATGTACCACCATACATGGTTTTGTATAGTTTTTTATTATATGAAAGCAACTTACATATTGCAAGTGTTTTTCCAGTTTGCCTTTGATATTGTTGTGAAAGCATATATTAATTTAAATATCCCTGAAAATAAAGTTTTAAAGCCTCATTGATGTACTTTGTTATTAAAAATTAGTAAGATCCTGCCTGGGGATGCAGCCCAGCCCTTGCTCAAAGCCCTGAGCCAATTTCTAGCTCTGTTAAAAAAAAAAAAAAAAGTATAAAAATCCAATTGATGCTTTAAAAATTCATTCATAAAGTTTAAAACTGTACATATCTATTGGAGTACTTTTGGTATTCTTATTTTTCTTTTGGTTCTGATACCAGGAATTGAACTCCAGAACTTGTGCTTGCCAGTTAGGCACTGTGCTTCTGAGCTGTACCCCTCGCCTCTTTGGAATACTTCAAAAATAATTTTTTTCAGATGACTTAAGTATATAAAATTAGGATAAAGGGTGACCTACATATGTCTCAAGGTTGTTGTAAGGATTAAAGATAACTTGAGGCACATTTTTGAAGGATTTTTAACAAATAGATCTAAGGAACTTTTTATAAAAAGTGTTAGCAGAACAGATTGGGTTCATAGTCTGGAAAAGAGCCAAATATTTTCTTTCTGATGGATGAAATGATGAGGTCATTAAGATACTTGGTTTACTCAGTGGATTGAAGCGCCTGCTTAAGCAGACATGGGGGTCCGGGATTCGATCCCTTCGGCCTGCTATGCTGGCCCCACCCCCGGGGGTGCACTGAGACAGCAATTGAGACTGGCCTTGGTGTCATGCATCTGTAATCCCAGCGCTTGGGAAGCTGAAGAACAGGAGGATGATTATGAGTCCGATCTGTGAAGTGAGACCCTGTACACATACATAAAAAAAATAAAATAAAATACATGTTTAAAATTTGGATGATCATGAAGAAAGGAGTCTTAAAAATTACACAAAAATACAAAACCAAAAAGATCCTCTTTTGTTCACTTTTAACATCTTAGAGATTATCCTCCCCTGCTTAGAGAAAGTCCATTTTGAGGAAGTATGATACACATATGAAAGTATACATGTTTATAATGTATATATTTTGGAGTGTTTTAATGAGCATGTATGCCCACAAACTACTTACTGATACCTACGTAGATACAAAACATTTTTGTTAGCACAAAATAGTACAAAAAACCAAAAACTTCATTGAAATGAAAGGCTTCTGCTCAAAAGAACTTGCTTTTGTTTGTTTGTCTGGTTTTTTGGCAGAACTGGGGATTGAACTCAGGCCCTTGCGCTTGCCAGGGAAGCACTTATTCTACTGAGCTATCTCCCTGGCCCTCAAAACACATGGTTTAGAAAATGCAAAGCAAGCCATAGAGCAGGAGAAATTGCTTATAAAACCTGCATCTGACAAAGTGCTTACATCTAGAATATATTAAAAATGTTTTAATTCAGTAATTTAAAGAATTAGTTTTAAAATGTAATGGAAGTTTTATAATGAGTAAATCAGGATTTTTCTTCTCTGTGTTTTTGGACGTGCTGGGTTAGATCTCCAGTCCTAGGCAACCAATGATTTTGGTTTTTGTTACTATAATTGATTTGTCTTTTCAAGAATTTCATATAAATCAAATCATACAGTATGACTCTTTAGTGTCTGATTTTATATTTTTGACATTCATCCATATTGTTGGTACATCAGTAATTCATTTTTATTTTTGAGTAGCCTCCTGCTATACAAATGTATCACAGTTCATTCTCTCGTTGAATGTTTGGCCATAAACAAAGTAGCTATGAACATATGTGTATAAGTTTTTGTGGCGAGTTGTGTGACAAGTATATGTTCAATTGCATAAAATATTGCCAGCTCTTTTTCAAGTGGTGTGCTGTTTACATCCATTTCTACAAGCCATGTGTTGGATTTTCACTTGGACTGCATCCTTCTCTACTCTTGGTATTGGTGGGTCATTTTAATAACATCTCTAAAGAATGTTTAATAAATAATATGAAATTTTAATTTGCATTGTCCTGATAATTTGCCGATACAGAAGTGCCACAGTTCACCAATTCAGTTATCTCCATAGTTCACAAACCGAACTACATGAGAACCAAATCAAATTTCTCCCTAAAGTCAGCATTGAAACTAGCCATTGATTTTGATTTGTTTTTGTCCAACTTGACCAGAATTATAGAAAGAATTAAGTTCATGAACTGAGGTACCTCTTTTACAGTGGAGTGGGGTAAAATAGTCAAGGTTCTTATGTGTGACCAAAAACAAAAAAAGGCTTGGCAAGCATACACTTTGTGGTAAGTAGTGAGAATCTACATTTAATGAAGAGCAAAAGATGGTAGCAGAACAGGCAGAAGGAAGAGGAACCTAGAAGGAATTCAGTAAGAGCCTAGGCAGAGGAACAGGAACAGGAATCCAGGAAAAGAAGGAGTTCTCAAGTAACTACTATATAACTTGGACACCTTTAACTTAAGGTGTGGTCAGACAGCTGTGACCCCAGGTGCCTATCATTTTGTCTCTCATTGGTGTTGAAACTAATGATGTTCTGCCGGGGCATCACAGCTTCATAAGCATAAACATGGATAATCACCAGGGTGGTGCTGAGTCCACAGCTGAGTGAAGGGAAAGGATCATTCCTTTTCCCTGTTTCTGACTATGTCACCACCATATGGGCTGGAGGAAGGAAATTCTGCAATGTGATTACACCTTGCCATCCTAAATAGGACATAGCATTTTATTCTCAATTTCCAGTGCTTTTTAAAATCTTTAGTGCTAAGTTTTTATTTCTTCATCTGATCAGTTCAGGCTCCCATTAGAATATGGGATAACTGGTTTCTCTAAAATATTACACTATATTTTGCCAGGCTTGTAAAAAAGAAAAACTTCACAAACAAGGGCTTATTTGAGCATTAAAAGAATTGTGACTAGCAGCACTGAATTTCAGAACCTCTAACTATGCTCACAGAGTTATGGTCCAGAAGCATGTACCTCGGCTTTTATAGGGTGAATGTAGAGGGAAAGGAATTGCTTGATTGAGTACAGTTAGCTCTTTGCCATCTTAATTACTTTTAGATATATAGTTTAGTAGTGTAGGTATGTTCACATTGTTACATAACAGTTCTACAAATTAACAGCAGTATTACTAATGATTTCCACTGTTAAAACAAAACTTTACCCTTTGGGCTGGCGAGATAGCTCAGCGGTCTAAAACACCTATTTAGGCAAGCTTAGGCAAAACACAGAGACCACAGTTCAATCCCTGGCACCATATGCCATATACCAGCCCCGCCTTCAGCATGGGCTGAGCCGGCCACAAAAAAAAACCAACTTTACCCATAAAATATATTTGTTTTTGTTGTAAAACATGAGGAATTTTTAAAATAAAGCATTGCAGAAATTAAGTGAATGTATTTACAAATTAAATGCAAAGTTAATTTACATAATACATTTTTATACAATCTTTGTATGAAATTTTAGATACCACTGTTTGGAATTATGTCATCAGATTCTGCAGATCCTTTCTACTGGATGAGAGTTATTCTTGCATCCAACAGAGGTATGTACTTCTTTTTGTCTCCATAGTACTATTGATATCAGCTGGATATCAGAATATGAATTCACAAGTAATTTTTGATGTGTCCAAGGAGAGGAAAGATATGAAATAGAAAGCCATTATGTAGAAGAAACCAACAAATAAATAGTGCCAACACCATGTTTATATTGTAATAGTAAACAGAGAAATCTATCTTTAGGTTTCTCACAGACTAGAGACTCCTCTTTAGTGGTGAGGTGATATACCTGAGGTGGAGTTGCATGATTGCAGCATGAGCTAGGAAAGCCTGAGCTAAGCCCACAGAGGTGTTCTGCAAGGAGTGGCTTGGGAGGGGTGCTGATAAGCAGGGCTGTTGCATTTCAAGACTCAATGATTACTTGTGTTTTGGAGACTTCATGTACTTGACAAGTGTTTTTATAAGTTTTTCTAAATTATAAACCTGTTATTTGTTTATTTTTAAGATGCACCAGAAATGATACACAGATTTATATGAAGGTGAAAATAAAAATCTCACTTCTGAACAGGAACTTCCAGGAAATCGATAGGCTGGCAAATTTTTTTTTTGCATATCCCTTAACATAGGAAAATCTATGTACGAATATAGATTTTCTATAATCTGTAAGAATGTAGAAACACTATATACTGTGTTGCTATTGGTTTTGCTTAATTAATTATCTCCAATGAGATATTTTATTCAGTAGCCACATCCTGCCCTATTATAAGGATAGACTAAAATTTATTTAATCACAATTTTTACTGAGTTTTTACTGTATGGCAAGCTGTGTGTTCAATGTTGAGGGTAGGGCAGTATACAAGACTGTTCTCCTGTTGTGGAGTCCCATTTCCTCCTCAGAGATCTGGACTTCACAGATGGGGTGAGGAAGGGTGCTCCCAGAGGAAGTGAGAAGTTCCTGAGCAGACCTCGGGAGGGGCAAGAACATCTGGGGAGGAACAAGCACAGACTCTGGTGCAAGTGTGCTCAGTTGTTAATATTGAGGAGGTGAGAATGTGGCTAGAAGATAAGACAGGGAAGGATGACAGCACTAGATCCTGTCTGTGAGCCTAAGATCTAATCCTAAAGGCTCAGAGGGCATAGAAAGTAGTGGACTTGAGGTCTAATGACTTTTTTTTGCAGCTGTAGCCATCATGGCTTCTGTTGTTAGAAAGGTTTTTGCTTTTCCAAATTATGCACATGCTCACCCATATTTCCATATTTCCCTTTAGTGCTTTAATTTGTCATCCTTTATGTTTGTTTTCTGTTCATTGATCATTCATGTTGGTGTCAGTCATGAGAACAAGCCTGGGTTTGATGGTCTGTGGTGGCCAGTCCCTCGCTGAGGTCCATTTAGTTGGTCCACTTAGCCTCTTCCTCTGTTCATTGAAGTGCCATATTTTCTGTATCTGATTTTCATTAAAGCTTGGTAGCTTGGTTGGATCTATTTATGAACTAGACCTATTTTAATTATAAATTTAGATGGATTAACTTTAAGAGAAATCTGGTTTGAGCTCGTGTTCTATTTTTTTTTTTTTTTTTTTTTTTTTTTTTGCGGAACCGGGGAGAGAAATCTGGTTTGAATGGTAGTAACAGCAAAACCTTTTTATCTTTCATTATTGAAGAAGTGTAATGGCACCTTAGTTAACAGATACTTTTGTCTGCAAACAGTGTGGTTCACAAACAGAAGCATTTGACTTTTTTTTTTTCTTTTTGTCCTAGAGATCAAACACAGGACTTGTACTTGCCAGACAGGCACTCAAGCTGCTGAACTATCTCTCTGGTCATTTGGCAAAATGTTGTTTTTGTTTTTAAACTCCACATGGGGTGACAAACATGATTGTGGTCATCTTTCCCACACAAACACAAACATGGACATGTTTTCCAAAATCAAGAACAAATTAAGTTCATGAGTCAAGTTACCACTGTATTTAAGAAAATATCAAGAATATCCTAAAAATTGATTATTTTCTCATATTAAAGGGGCCCTTTTCAGCATTTATAAAGCTCAGATATAAGAGAATGACAGAGTAACCGATGAAAACATTCTCAGCTGGGCGTGCTGGCACATACCTATAATCCCAGCACTTGGAAGACTGAGGCAGAAGGATCACTATGAATTTGAGGCCAGCCTGGGCTTTGTATTGAATTCAAGGGTAGCCTGCACTATATAGCCACACCCTGTCTCAAAAAAGAAAAAAAGGAAATACACTCTTCTGGGCTTATTTATTTATTTATTTGGTACAGGGTCACGCTATTCAGCTTGGATTTATAGTGATCCTCTTGCCTCAGCCTCCCCAGTGCTGGGATTACAGGTGTGCACCACCACACCTGGCTTTGGAGCCAGCATGGTGCACCTGGAGTTCTAGGGCCAGCATGCTATGTGGTACCAGGGATTGAAGCCTGGTCTTTGCATTTGCCAGGCAAGCGCTTAGATCGCCAAGTTATCTCTCCAGCCCACAAAACACTCTCGACCTTGTGGAATTACTTAGTTTTATCTGTTCCTATAATTGGCAGATTTGTTTTTCTTACTTTTCACTATAAATATAATATATACTATGGGAAAACGTTTACACAATATAGAAGAAAAGTTATCTGTAATACCACTGGGTAAAATAATAATAAATATTTTAGTGACCAGAGTAAGATATCAGGAAACTCATTTACTAGTTATGTAGTAAATAGAATCAAACTATACTATTTTCTAAAATATTTTTCTGCCCAGTATGTCATGAACATTGTTCATATCACTAATATTCTACATTGTTTTAGCTGACTTCCCCTGTAACTTAAAATTTTGCATTAGAAGAATTAAAATAGGGCTGGCCAGATAGCTCAGAGGATTAAAGCACCTGCTTAAGCAAAGTATAGGAACCCAGGTTCAAACCCTGGTACCACATTCCATGCCATACTTTTACTCAGTGCAGTTGTGCAAAGTTCTGTTAATGAGAGTTTGTGTAGCAGTTAATGTTTAAGGAATGAAAATTTGTTTCACATTTAAAGTGCAATAAAGGACACTTAAGACAGACACTTCTAAATTAATCTGTATTATAGACACTAAAAGTTGTCTACTTCTTTCTGCTTCCTTTACAGGAACTTTAATGGAACTGGGCATCTCCCCAATTGTAACATCTGGTTTGATTATGCAGCTGTTGGCTGGAGCCAAAATCATTGAAGTTGGAGATACACCCAAAGATAGAGCTCTCTTCAATGGAGCCCAGAAATGTGAGCATTAGTACAACTAAAGGCCTTCATCTAAATTTGAGAATGTGATAAAAATTTTCCTATGATCCTTTTTGTGTCACTGGTTGTAAGCATGTACTCCTTTTTCCCCCAATTTCTGTCAGTATTTGGTATGATCATTACCATTGGGCAAGCCATTGTGTATGTCATGACGGGGATGTATGGGGACCCTGCTGAAATGGGTGCTGGGATCTGTCTCCTTATCATTTTTCAGGTAAGAATTCTTATATTTTCCTATGCAGATAATAAAACAGTTTGAGCTTTTTTTCTACTAGTTCTTTAGTTAATTGATATTCATTTTCTTATGAATTAGAGTATTTTGATTACTGAATTATTTGTACAAATTATGTTAATAAAAAATTCAAATTCTAATAGCCTCATAGTCATACTATATAAATAATTATGGGTTACCCTTACTTTATCAATTCTAAGATATGCATTTTTCCCACATTTTGATGTCTCTGAAATTAGAATATTTTCAGAAGATACACTTTCTTGTATCTTCAAAGTGCCATCAACCAGATGGCAGTCATAGAAGTTGCCGATGCTGTGCATGCATCATCTTGGCTGCTGCTGTTCCACTTAGTACTACATCAGTTGGCTATAGGCTCTGTTGATGTAACAAGTGTTAGAATTTGATTGTTAACTGAAGTGTCTTTCAAGAATTTATGGTGATGTATTATTAAATAAAAATTGTGCGTGCACAGAGTCACAGAAGCCAAGGGTGGCAACACAAGTCTGTCATCTCAGTACTTGGGAGCTGAGGCCAGCCCAGGATACATATAGTAAGTTCAAGACCAATCTGGAATACATGGTGGGACCCTGACTCAAAAAACTGAAAAAAAGAAAATAAGTCACAGACAGGTAGATGATAAATATCTACATCTAAGTCAAGAACTCCTGTTTTAAAAAGCATAACATAAAAATTCTTTGTAATAAAATATGCTGTAGATAGAATATTCTCCTAGTGGTACACAGAGTAATTATGTTTGGTTTCAGTGGCTTCCTTTTTGTTTGTTTTTCACATTATTGGTAGTCAAGGTGGTAGTAGCTCTACCATGTACAGAGCTATGCTCCCAGGGTTCCCCCACCACCAACACCACCACCCCGCCTCTGGAATACTCTCTAAATTGCCTACACTGGCCTTGAGTTTCCAGTCCTCTTGCCTCTGCCTCCTGAATAGCTGAGATTACAGGCAGGCATCATACCTGCTGTGGTGTTTTAAATTATAGCATGTTAGTGTCTGTGATATACATATATAATTATATATATGTATATAGTGGTATCTCAGTTCATGAACTCAATTCTGTGATTCCGGTCATAAGATCTCCATAGGTTAACATTGAATTTAACCAGTGAATTGGATTCCAGTCTTGTCCAACTGTTTATGACCAGAATGAATCAAGTTCATGAACTGAGTGAGGTATGTATTTGTGTGTGTGTGTGTGTGTGTGTGTGTGTGTGTGTGTGTGTGTGTGTCTATCTAAACTGAATTTTGGGGGGGATACTGGGAATCAAACTCGGGACTTTGTGCTTGCCAGGGAGACACCATGCCACTGAACTATATCCCTGGGCCCTAAAATAAATTTTTAAATGGATGCTTTGGAATGGAATTTTTTTTCTTTTGGAATGGAATTTTTAAGTGCCAACATAATTATCACCATACTCAATATCTTAGTGTGTAAAGTTTAAAAGGTACTTTTCTATCCTATGATTCATAAAAATCATTTAGAGAAATTACCAAAGAATGGGTTGAACTTAAGCTATATATTTATTTGGTTTTGAAAAGAAGTTTGCTTAAGTTAATAGACTGATTATTTGGTTTTCTTGGAAATGTGTTGTGTCTACTATGAAGTTAAAATTAATTTAGAACAATTTTTGTAACAGCTCAAAAGATCAACTTAGAAAATGTTTTTAAATACAGTAGCACCTTGGTTTACAAACTCAGTTCTCTGCACAATACTGATTGCAGACCAAACTGGACAAAAGCCAAATCCTATTTTCCCTAAGGTCAACATTGACCCTAACCATTGAATTTGACTCAGTTCTTATCTATCTAGTTCTGTGACCAGAATTATTGGAATCAGGTTTGTGAACAGATGTACTACTGTAATCTTAGCTACCACACTTAATACATACTAAGAGATATGACTGTCTCATACTAATAATGTTGAACTTTATTGTTTTTAATGAGAAGTCTTACATAGAAAGCAAATCAAGTAGGATTGTCTAGTGAGTACGATGCAGAAGAGGAGTTGGATGATTCAAATACTCCCTGGCATCATTAAAAGTAGAGATTATTTTCTAATGTGGTCGAGCTGGGAGTTTTTCTTTGACGATGGCAGGAATTTTTCATAAGTATTGGGATCTTTGGTAGTCTCTGAACTCTTGCATGCTCCCATTTGCTGTCTTTACTTTTTCATTTACAAACTATGTCCCCGACAAGTTTCTAGGCATTGAAAATAGGAGGAAGAGGGCTGGGGAAATAGCTCAGTAGAATAAACACTTGCCTGGCAAGCACAAGAGCCTGAGTTCAATCCCTGGTTCTGCAAATACTCAGGCTAGGAAGCAGAGATAGAAACTCTGAAGACTGATTTGAAAAGTATTTAGGATCTCTTCATACATTGTTTCCATTGTTCAGAATACTGATAGGCCATTTATTGCCCTTTTTTTCTGAATAGTATTTTCTTTATGTAACCTATGTACCCTGACACAGGGGTGGGGGGCAGGGGTTGCTGGGGATCAAACCCAGGGCTTCAGGGGTGCTAAGTACACACTCTACGACTGAAGTACTCTACCCCCAAATAACCATGATTTTAAGATATTAGAACTAGCATTTAATTCTTATAACATTCTACATCAGTCAGATATCTCTAGTACCTTCCTAATAATACATTTAGACCCTAAGGAGCCAGACCTAAAAAAATCTTGGGCTAGTTAGAGAAGGAGTAAAATCTTATAGAGTCAGTTATACATTTAGATAGACATAAAAAGAAGTTAAGCTATTGTGCAGTTTCAGTATTCAAAAATCTAAGAATAGTTATATTCCAAGAATAAAACAGGCAAAGTGAGCATGTATTAATTTGTTTCATATAAATATTCTTGCCTACCAATATTTGTGTTGTGGTTAATTCTTCTAGCATTTTGTTTTGTTTTTTGTTTTTTTGAAAGTGTTTCACTGTGTAGTTCAGGCTGGTTTTGCAATCACTTTGTAACCTATTCTGGCCTTCAACTTACAGTGATCCTCCTGCCTCAGCTTCCCAAGTGACAGGCATAAGCTACAATTCTTCTAGTGTTAATGCATATAGAAATGTTTTTGATCTGAGATGGGAAATAGCCCATTTACATATTTCATATTAAATATATATATACACAGTGAAAAGCTATGATGGTATCAACATGTTTTCACCTACAAATACAGGTTTTTAAGTGTTTGCATTCTATTGTGCAAAGTATTTCTGACCTTATTTGTTGTCTTATTCACATGGTCAGTGTTTTTTCAGGAGTGGGTTTTAAAATCTAAATAATGGGTCTTGATTAAAATTTTAAGGAAATTATGAGTGTGTACAGCATACAGTAAAGGTAAGTATGTTTCACCAGACCTGAGTGCATGAACATAGAGGATTGAAAAGTCAAGTGGGATTTTGGCCTTATCTCAGAGGTTCAGTGTTAGACACTCCCAATGTCCATGTGGTTCCTCTTCTGTTGTCACTGTGCTGTCACTTCCTGGTCTCTCATCTCTTCACTAACATGTACAATATTTGCCATCTTTTATCTTATTTTTTAAATCATAGAAATGATTTCTCACTTGGATTTCTTTGCAGTCTTTTCTTTCATTGAAAAACATGAACCAGATTTCTGCAGATGTAAGTGAGCTACTCTGTAGTTTGGATGACAGCATTCTGAATAGGGGTCTGGATAATTACAGTTGCTTCAGAGGTGCTATGTGATTTGGCCAGGTCATTGATCAGAGCCTGTGACAGTGCATTTTGATGGCTGATAGCCAATATTCCCTGCACAGATATTGCTGTGTGTCTGGGAGTACCCATTATAGTCATATTAAAATGTAGTATTCTTGGCCTCTCTTATTTTGTTAAGATGTCAGACTTGGTCAGCTGCACTCTCATAAAGGTTCTGAGAATTGTACCCTTTTTCCAGTCCTACTAAAAGACTGTAAGTAGACAAGTTAGGTTTGTCAGTCACTGAAATGGTAGTTAAGAAAACACCAATGTTGTATAAGGAAAGCTGATAGTACACTAGTTTGGCCTCTCTTGTGACAGTATACGATAAAGTGAGTAGACAGTGAGGGATGAAGAAGTAGAAGTGACTTCCTTGCTTCTGTAGATGATTTTGTGGTAGAGTTAGGAGACTGGCAGCATAGAAGTACATTTCCTTCCCCTCAGACCGCTTATGTCAGAAAGGAATCATACAGCTGAGGAAATGACTTGCAAGACTGTGGTTGATTTTTTAATTTTTTTTTTAAAATTTTTATTTAGTACAGGGTCTACAGGGTTTTACTGCACAGATCGGACACATAGTGATCTTTTTGTTTTCAGCCTTCCAAGACCTAGGATGGGCTGGGAGATAGCTCAGTAGAATAAGCACTTGCCTGGCAAGCACAAGGTCCTGAGTTCAATCCCTGGTACTGCAAAAAACAAACAACAACAACAACAAAATGTCAAAGCGCTGGGATTACAGGCACGTGCCACCACACCCAGTCTTAATCACCATCTCAGTGTGCCCCAGAGGTGGGGCTGGCACAGCACGGGGATGTAACCCCAGTCCCTGCATCTGCCTAAGCAGGTACTTTAATCCACTAGGCTATCTGGCCAGCCCTAAGACTGTAGTTTATTAATGAATGCATGCTGTTACAGAAATGTCTTCCTCAAGAAGAAAATTAAGAATGCTCAGTATCACAAAATTATACCATGCTTCACTTGTAAAAACAAAATTATAAGCTGAAGAACCAGGTGGACTTTTTTCAGGTTTACAGTCTTTGTGACTATTAGAATGTATTTTAGGGGAGATAGCTCAGTAGAATAAGTGCTTGCCTGCCAAGTGCAAGGGCCTGGGGCCTAAGTTCAATCCCCAGTTCCACCAAAAATAAATAAATAAAAAGAATATATTTTACAATGGTTATAACCTGTGTTCATATTAATTTGTGCTATAATTTTTTACTTCCTGCATATATGATACATAGCATATATATGTAATATATAAAATGTTACACATATAGATCTTTTTATTTTGGTATCAGGAAATGAATTAGGACCTTGTGCTTGCCAGGCAGGCACTTGTGCTACTGACTATATCCACACCAGCTTTTTATTTTTAGTTAATTTTTTTCTTTTTCTTGAGAGAGTTTTGCATGCAGTTCAGGCTGGTCTTGGACTCACTGTGTAGGCCAGGCTGGCCCTGAATTCACAATGATCTCTCTGCCTCAGTCTCCTGAATGCTGGAATTATAGGCATGTACCACCATTTCCAACTTAGAGTTCTTTTTTTTAAAGCAGGAATATAGTCCTCATACTTACCCTTTAAAGGCATTTTACACTTACATCTTCTTATTGTAGAATTCATTCAGCCTTCTACTTCCTTTAAGGTGTTTGCAATGCTTTCATTTTCCCACTGTCAAATTCTGCATCTGTGCACATTTTTGTTTTAGTGTGCTTTTTCAAACAAGCCCTATACAGTGTAAGGGAAACTATTTAGATGGTATAAGTATACTTTAAAAGTTGAAATGTTTGCTTTATAATGTGATAGTATTTCTCATCCTGATTTTCACAATTGGCTTCTCACTGAACTAAAGCAGCTTCAAAGCTCCCAACAGCCATAGTAGTGATATGACAATAATTAGGTTTAATACTGAAAATGCCCATGCTTTGAAATAACCCATGGTGTTCATCTCTCCCTTTTCTTGAGTTTATTCTTGCTTCTGCTTACGTGCATTTCTTTCCCCACAGTTGTTTGTTGCTGGTTTGATTGTGCTGCTGTTAGATGAGCTGCTACAGAAGGGTTACGGCTTGGGGTCTGGTATTTCCCTCTTTATTGCCACCAACATCTGTGAAACCATTGTCTGGAAGGCCTTTAGTCCCACTACCATTAACACTGGCAGAGGTACATTGCATAGTGACTGCACCTGCACGAGTGTGGCTGGATATATGCTGAAATGAGTCTATAGTGTAGCAGTACAAGCCTGCAGCCTTTCTGTTGCTACTGCACGGACCACAGCGCTGACTGTTCAAAACTTAGTAAGCAGAGATGTGTGGAGCAGACAATATTTAAAAAACAATAATGTCTTAAGTTTTAGCCTCTGCTTATGTAAAATTTCATTCGTTAGAAACAGATGGGAAGAATTTTGTTTGTTGCCCTTGCTTAAGCCATTGCTACAGAAGTTATTTATCTGATTGATTACATTTCCAAGAGGATGACAAGGTAGTAAATTAAGATTTCTTAATAGACTTATTCATTGTATCCTCAGGGAACACTCATACTTTTGCTTCTCCTCTAGTTGACTTTGTAATAGCATCTGAGTATTGAAAAGATTTCATTCTATCTTTCCCCTTTATCCTTCACTTCTCAATTGTTATCTGTTTTAGCAGATGGACATCTAAACTCTGGTCCCAGCCATAATGGTAAAGATGGTTTATTAATGTTCTCTGTACAATAAACTTAAAATCAAGCTTGATAATGAATATATCCTCTGTGATATGTTTATCTTTGCTGCTGTTTTCTTTTTAAACTTTTCCCCCAAGTACTCTAAATACTCTCCTTTTCCTAAAATATAGAGGAGAGGCAAACTGTTATGAATATTTGCTATGGTAGATTCTAGTTTGGATGTTTTCATCAAAAATAGTCTCTTGAGAAAATTTCATATTTATGCCAAAGAGATAATTTCCCTCAGTGATCCTAGTATTTTTAGAACCTGCACACGCGGCTGTACCATAAAGCAAACATTGGTGAATTCGCTTGACTTGAGATTCGGGTTATTCTATCTTTGAGGTAATTTGGAAAAGGCATCTACAGCTCATTGCTGTCTTGATTTTTCAGGTACTGAGTTTGAAGGTGCTGTCATAGCTCTGTTTCATCTGTTGGCCACCAGGACAGACAAAGTCCGAGCCTTAAGGGAGGCTTTTTATCGCCAGAATTTACCCAATCTGATGAACCTCATTGCTACTGTTTTTGTGTTTGCAGTTGTTATATATTTTCAGGTGAGTTTAATCTTTGCACTTAATGACAGGGGTGTGCAGATTTTTATATTTATTTTATTAAACAGGAAAATATCATTTGAAATGTTAGTATTTCAAAAGTCTGTTCTAGATCCAATCAAGCAAATGATTTCATTCTTTATACTCTAATCTGAAGGTTCAAAATATTGGGAGATACGAAGTGAAACTTTTGTTAGCATTATCTTCTTACACTCTATGTTGCTACTTGTTTTCCCTCAGTGGTCTGTGTTCTTTTCATAACATGTCCACTCTTATTTACTGTTGATTTTGTTTTTTAGGGATTTCGTGTTGACTTGCCTATTAAGTCAGCCCGGTATCGAGGACAATACAGTAGCTATCCCATCAAGCTCTTCTACACCTCGAATATTCCCATTATTCTTCAGTCTGCTCTAGTTTCCAACCTGTATGTTATTTCCCAGATGCTGTCTGTTCGTTTTAGTGGCAACTTTTTAGTAAATTTGCTAGGACAATGGGCCGTGAGTATTTTATTTATATTAAGTATTTAAATATTTTAATTTATGGTTATGTTTTTAACCACTGAGAACGACATTCAGACAGTTGCTATTTGGTTTTCAGGTTCATAGCAGAGTATCTGGAAGAATTACAAGTGTTGTAAAACTAAGAGTTAATTAATGTTTTACTATTTTATTTTCTAGGAACATTTTTTATACCATTTGAGTGACCTTTTAAAGTAATAGCATAGTTGCTTTCATAAAAAAGATTTCCTATTTTTATCTTATTTCTCTAATGTCTGTTAAAAAATTCCTAAGGGAAAAATATCCCACTATTTTCAGATAACATATGGGATAAAAGAATCATCTTTGGGCTGGCAAGATAGCTCAGTGGTCTAAAGCACCTGTTTAGGCAAAACTTACGCAGGCGCAGGGGACTGCAGTTCAATCCCTGGCACCACATACCATGCCAGCCCCACCCTCAGGGTGGGATGAGCCAGAAAAACAAAAAACAAAAAACCCATTTTTTAATGTCTGGAATGGCGATAAACTGGCTTGTGATTAACTGGGTTGGAGAGAATGCATGTAATTAACAAGCCTGGAAAGCAAGAAATAGAATCTAATAAATTCTGATTTCTCTTTATAGATTGTCTTTATTATGACTGTTAAAACTGTCCAGTCACATTGCTTCCAAAATGTGAATTTTGATTGATTTAAAATACTGTCATTTGACAAGTAGTATTTTTCTTTCTGTGAGTTATATAATTTCTGAAAGGCTAATTTCCTTTATTTTCAGAATAATTCTAAAATTTGCATCCCACTACAAATAGCATTTTTCAGTCATTCTTGAGATAGTATGCTTATTCTGTGCTGAGCAAGTGCTCTATCATTGAGCTATACCCCCAACTCTATTGGTTTATCTTAATATATTATTGTTTACATTATAAATTATAGTGCTTTTACTATTGGCACTTTTCAACTTAAATTGAAAAGCATGTAACTTCAGTGTTCCTAGCATAATTTCCTAGCATAAATGCAGTGAATAATTGGTTCTCTAGACATTGTGTTGTGCCCTTGACTAAAATTCTTTTAATGAAAGATTTGGAAACCAAATACAATTGTAATTTCATTCTGAAATTGATTCTAGAGACAGTAAGAAATCATTTGAAAATGACTAAATTCAGAAGCCAGAAGTATTAATAATTATAATCCAAAACTGTTCTGTCTCTTCTCTCTAACTTTATTGTGAACAGAGTTACTATAAAAACTTACATTATAAACGTTGATGAAAACCTTTTTGGAGTTTATTGGTACATTTTAGATATACATAGATTGCATTCATCATATGGAATCTGTAGATGTATCTTAATTCTCATTTCCCTCTCCCTTCAACTCCTCTTCCCCTCTTATTTACAATATTTTTTTTCCTATACTTTTTTTCCTTTTCCCTTCCTTCCTGTCCCCTCCCCAGTTCCCCTTTTAACATTTTCTTCTATTCACAATTAAGACTAAATTCTTGGGCCAGAGACATAGCTCAGTACCATACTCACCTGCCTGGCAAGTGCAAGGCTCTGGTTTCCATCCCTGGTCACCCCCCCCCAACCACCAAAAAAAAAAAAAAAAAAAAAATTGAGTTCAAGTAAAACGAAGTTTGAAGACTGATTCTTATAATGTACAAAGCATGTAAAGATTAGTCACCAAGCTATATATATATATATTTTTAAATTTTTTATTGCATTCTTAACTGTCAAGTGCAAGTTGACTATGTTAAGACTACCTTGATGTGTTGGAGGCTCTCACATAGTTCAGAAAACTTAACATTCTAAATGTGATTATATTCATAGAATTAGTTTATGCCTTTTCAAAAAAAAAAAAATCACTTGGCTGGGAAGATAGCTCAGTGGCTTAAGTGCCTGCCTGGCAAGCACAAAGACCTGAGTTCAATCCTCAGCACCGCCCCCCAAGAGACATCATTCTTCTGTTAAATGATATGTTCAAAACATTCTGTATATAGTACTCACTGTATGATTTTAAAGGAGTAAAAGTCATACATTCAGATATAACTCCTGTATATCGACTCATTGACTATAGGTGCTTTAAACTTAAAAACACTGTCATAATTTTTGAGAAATGTGAACTCAAAATGATTTCTAGGTAGGAGCACCTATATCCCAGCTATCTCAAAGCCTGAGCATGAGGATCACTTGAGCCCAGAAGTTCAGAATCATTGTGGGCAAAATAATGAGACTTTGTCTCAGGAAAAAAACAAAACAAAACATTTAAGGCCTGGAGTGTGGAGAGTAGCTCAGTGGTAGTGTCCAGAATATGGAAGACAGTGGGTCCACTCTTCAGTGCTATGGAAAGGACCCTTGTGAATCATGTTGGCCATTTGTCTTTTTCATACTTGTCCTCTAGGATGTCAGCGGTGGAGGACCTGCTCGTTCCTACCCTGTTGGAGGCCTGTGTTACTACCTTTCTCCTCCTGAGTCCATGGGTGCCATATTTGAGGATCCTGTCCATGTAGTTGTTTATATCATCTTCATGTTGGGGTCTTGTGCATTTTTTTCTAAGACATGGATAGAGGTGTCTGGTTCCTCAGCCAAAGATGTAAGTATTTGGTTTACTTGAAAACAATTTTATTGAAATTCCTCATTTTAAGTACCAATGTAATTAACAAGTTCCTACTTTTGTAGTTTAAGCTTTGTTTAGTGCATTACATTCAAAAAATGAGGCAGTATCACCCACAACAGGATACAAATGGGCTTTGGGAAGGTGAAAAATCTGACCAAACTCAAATCCATGCAACCAAATCTCTTTAGTGTTAAATTTCTCTGTAGGGGAAATTTCATTACCACTGTAATGAAAGAGGTTGAGAAACACAGGCTTAACAACATGTAGTTCATGGCCTTGCACCCTCAGCTTTAATGTGAAGATGACAATGCCAACCTAAAAGCTCTTATGTATTGCTTTTGAGTATGTGGACAGCACTACACACATGACTTCATTGACAGTCACAGTAAAAGGTGAAGAGTTTGATGTTCAAAGTTTGTTTTTTTTTTCCTTGGCAGGTAGCCAAACAGCTTAAAGAACAGCAAATGGTTATGAGGGGTCACAGAGATACCTCGATGGTTCATGAGCTTAATAGGTAAGCTGGGTAGAATTGTCCCTTTTTAGATTATTTCAAATTGTGGCATTTAGAAATAATACTGCAGTGAACATGCAGATAATTTCTGTGTGTTTTGGGAGGGCAATCTCACTATGTAGTCCACACTGGCCTCAAACTGCCTTAGCCTCAGGGGCTTGGCAGGAATACATAGAAGAGTTGGGCTCTCTTTTTTCTATAGATAAGCCAAGGACCCATTTGTCAAATAAGTTATAGTGCATCTACATTGTAGACTAGCATTAACTGAATAAAAGGGTAATGCAGGGCAGTACACTAATATTGGAAGATATCTGTGGTATATTTTTGATTTTAAAATGTGTGTTAAATACATGCAGTATATTTCCATATTTTTTTGTTACTTGTACAAATTCTGTAAGGATGTTTTCATTTTCCTGTGAGTAGAAATGCTGAATTATGCAGTTCACTCTGTTAACATTTTGAGGAACTGCTGAACTGTTATCCAGAGTATTGTTTCCTTGCCAGCATGAGTTCTTGCTTTTTGACTTTAAACCTTCTAGTGAATGTGAAATGGTTCATTGTGATTTTGCTTTTCCCTATGACTAATGATTTGGAACATCTTTTCATGTGGCCACTGGTTGTCTTTGAAGAAAAATCTGTTTAGACCCTTTGCTCATTTTTAATTGGGTTATCTTAAGTTTTTAAAAATTGGGCTGTTCCCAAATATAACTCTCATCAGATACCATTTTCAAGTATTTTTCTCCATCCTATAGGTTCATCTTTTTACTTTCTTGATAATGTCCTCTGATGCAAGTTTTTAATTTTGATAAAGCCTTATTTTATTTTTCCTTTGGTTCCTTGGTACTGCTGTTGATATAATAGCTAAGAATGTACTGTCAACACAAAGGTCATGAAGATCAATTCCCATTTTCTCCTAGGAGACTTGGCTGTTCCATGTGTGTCTGTGGCCTACTTGGAAGTAATATTTATATCTCACTTGAGCTAGGATCCAGCTACTATTTTGCACATGGCTATCTAGCTGCCTCTACACTGTTTAAGGCACTAAAAGTTCTGTGAACATTTGACTCAGATCATACACCACAGAGCACTGTCTCCAACTTCACCAACTATCATTCTACCATTCTTATTTTACCTTCTATCTCCCCTAATGTTTTCTTCCCTTTTTTCTTCTTTCAATATAATAAAAATCTTATTTTAAATAGTTTTCTAGGTGATTTTAATGTGCAGCTAATGTTGAACTGCTACTGAAGTGGGTTGTCACAATTACATGAATTTGCTCACACCACACAATTTTCAATTTATTTTCTACTCCACAAGAGGAAACTAAAGGTTTAAAAATATACAGTATTTTAATACTTAAATACTAGTCTGATTTAAGTATTCTGATTTGTCCTAAGAATTTCGTATTGCCTTCCATGACTGTTGCTTTAAATAAGTCATCAATAGATGCAATCACGTTCTGTCATTATTATGTGCAGCTCATCAGTATTGGTCTCTTTTGTATTTAGAGGAACTTTGCTAGTAAAACTTAGTGTTTCTCATTGTTAAACCTTGTCTCCTAGATACATCCCCACTGCAGCTGCCTTCGGTGGTCTGTGCATCGGTGCCCTGTCCGTGTTGGCTGACTTCTTAGGAGCCATTGGATCTGGCACTGGAATTCTGCTTGCAGTTACTATCATTTATCAGTATTTTGAAATATTTGTTAAGGAACAAGCTGAAGTTGGAGGGATGGGTGCTTTGTTTTTCTAAATGTTCAAATACTTTGTGTGTGAAAGGGAAAATATTTTGACACTTTGTTTTTTGTCAAATAATGCGGGTTCCCCTTTTGTTCTATCACAGCTTGTTTTCAAGTGCTAATTGTCCCATTTGTGAAAAATGGGCACCGAGCTAAGCCTGTGTGCAGCATTAGTACCAGCTGCCTTAAAACTACAGTTTACATTATTCGTCTAAAAATGTACATCTAGTATTGCCTGTAATGCTGGAAACCAATGTCTCTCTGCCTTGCTGTATTAAATCATGACAGTCGGACGGGGACATGGGTTAGTTTTGCACACAATATTCAGAACATTTACTCTCTTCCCCTTGTTTAAAAATAAATGTAGTTCAAATTGCCACTTTCCAGTATTTTTGAGCTTATGTAATGAGTTCTGGAACATTTATATCTAATCTATATTTTAGATAATTACTTTTTATACTTTTTTTAACTCATAGTATCCATGTTCCCTTCCCTCCCTCTCCATCCCCACCCACTATATTTCTTTTTTCCCAAAGCAGCCAGCCTCTTGGCCCAAATGGACAAAATCAAGCATTGAAGTTCATTCTGTTGCTAGAAACAATTGCTTCTAACTACTTTTCCTGTTTCTCACTCCTCTCTTCCCAGGGACAGCATAACCTGTGCTGTTGGATTGTATTGGCTATGCCTTTTAATTCCAACCAGTCACTTGATAATATTCTTTCAAGATACTAGGCCCTCATTTTTTCTTTTAATTCCCTAAGACAAAGATTGAATTCTCAAGCAATGTAGTTCAGTGGGGGTGAACAATGAGTAATTCATGCTAGGAATGTGTGTTCTTTGTTTTACTCACAAGAGCAACAAGTGTAAACAGTAGACAATAAACTTTTATTTAATAAAACTGTTGCAGTTGTGTTGGAAAAATAAAGGAATCTGATATTAAATGTTCCCTAACCTTATTTGCATAAGGTTTGTGTACTTGTAGAGCACATCCTGGGATGCCTAAAAGTCAAATGTAATTACTCTTCAGTGTTTTTTCTTTCTCTTCAGTATTATAAATTATTAAGAAACACTGGCTAATTTAAGAGTACTCATTTGTTGCTGATATTTGGAAAGGAATGTGAGGGCAGTGGTCTCAAAACAATATCCTGGTCTCCACTTGAAACTGCATAGTTCTCAGTAAATAATTCACTTTAGAATATGGCCTGTATTTCCCTCAAAGAAAACAAAAAACAAAATTTTAACATACCATTTTAAGGGTTTTTTTTTTGTTGTTGTTGTTGTTGTTGTTGTTGATACTGCTTACTTTCTTAGTTAAGGGCAGGAAATATGTCTTACTTAGGATCATAAAGCCAAAAGGATACAACAGATAAAAGCAGAAAGGATAGTAGCAAAATCTGAGGTCTCATTGCCTAAAGCAGTCAAGCTACTTCAGTCTAGAGAAAAACATCCTGCCTGGACATTGTGGGATATTAGTCACTAGGCAACCTTGTGTTTTATAACTTTGCAAAGGTATAAACGCCCCTATTGTTATTCTGGGGTCCTTTGCCAGTCAAGCATGGTCCTCTACATGACCTGAGCTATTGTCTTTTTTATTTTCTAAATCCTCTGTTTTCTCCTGGGGACCACAGAGAGACCAACTAATCCCTACATTTAGCACCTGCAACAGGGACCCCAGGTAAGGAGATGTTGATAGGAGGATGTTCCCAAGCAACAGGATGGGGGAGAACAGATCTTTGGGTCAACAGTTACCAGTGAAATGTTACGCAGACAATTACCAGGTGAAAAACATGGGGCACGGAGTCTACTGACCTTAGAAAAATAATCTTAAAGAGATAAATAGGTTTGAGAAAAGCCAACAAGGAAAGTTGAATTAAAAATGGGAAAGTTTCAAAAACTACAGATGTTTATATAAATGTATATAAAAATGTTCTTGATTCCTGTATTTTCTGTACTAAGACCACCATGAAAGATTTAGTGTCAAACAGTGTTCTAAAATCAAGATCCTATGGCCAGCCAAATAGCTCAGCGGATTAAAGCTCCTGAAGGCTCAGCAGCCGGGGTTTGGATCCCTGGGCCTGCCTTGCCAGCTCCACCCCCAGGGCGCACTGAGCTAGCAATTGAGACTGGGTGTAGTGGAGCGTGCCTGTAATCCCAGCTCTTTGGAGGCTGTAAATGGGCGGATCACTACAAGTCCAGACTAGTAGTGAGACCCTGAACACCCTATAGACCCTTTCTTAAAATACAAATAAAATAGAATAAAGTCCCAAATAGGATAAGGAGGGTGGAGCAAAGGTGCAGGTAAGAGTTTGAACACTCTAGCTTTGCTCAATCAGATGAAAAAGAAAACATATTCTTTTAAATTGGAAGTGACTCGTTCCATGTAAGTGGTCCTGCCATGGAGGTTGGCGCATGCCACCAACTGCAGTCCTATGCGCCTGGGGATAAGTCGGAGGGCACTAGACTGCTCAGCTTTCACTATGCACATTGCTGGTTGGCATTGAAAAATTTATTAGGCTCAATATAAGTGCCTTCCCCAGGCAAAAACAAAACATCCAACAGTCAGAGCCAGAGCAACAGTTGGCACACATAGTACTTGCACACAGCAGACCAGGCTGCATGGCCATAGCCCCCATAAAGCTTAGGAAGGGGAATTTGGGTCAGGGAATCTATTCCCAGTAGCAAGACAATCAAGCTGTTGCTAGTAGCTCACCTAGCCCCATGGTGGTAAGAGTAAAAGTGGCAACCAAAAGCAGAGCCCCAGGTTGTTTTGCTGAATTCAAGCACCTATATAGTATTTAGATGCCAATAGAATTTCCATCTCTAACAGGACTAAACAAAAGGGATACAAAGGAAGGACCACTTTGTATTTGTATATACAGAATAGTTAGGATAGATATACAGCTACTTTCGCTTAATTCAATGAGAAGAAAGATTTATAGTAATAGTGTTTGGACAGGATATCCTGTCTGCTTCTTGTACTATGGATAACCAGTAAGAAGATAACAATGTACAATGTATTATTGAAAATGTCCTATTAATCAGCTTTGAAACTGTCTCATTGATATTTGTTTCTCAATAAAATAAAAATTTTAAAAAGAAGCAAAAAGGTCTTCAGGTTTTGCCTAGAGTCCTCAATGCCCATTATATAGGGAAAAATCGAAGTTACAGTTCAGTCTACTCAAAACACTTTAAATCACTCAAGACTTTTCATATTGCTCAGTTTCTTTCTATGATAAAACTTTTAAACAAAAATTTTAAAGAAAATACTGGGTTACAAAGTAGTTTAAAAAAATTTAAAGGGATTTCAAATACAAACACAGATGCTGAAAAGATGCTTAACTCGTGTATGGAGGAATACACAGGGCCACTTTAAGAGGAATAGAGCCTCTAAAAAAGCAGAAAATACAGTGGATTTTCTCTCTCTCCATTACAATTCACACTAAAAGAAAAGCCTTTACATTTTTCCCTTAAGGTGATTAATTTAAAAGCCTGTTTCCATCCTCAAGATAAAAACTTTGCTTTTGTTTAAAAAAAATCGTATTTCTTAAGATTTATAATAGGGATATTTAAAAAGATTAAAGTTCTTTTGATTCCTAATGAGGTTCATTGCTTGCTTTACAGTACTAAATTAAAATTGGTATAAAAACCTAATATTTTACTAACATAAAATCATGTCTCAGCCTTTTGGCTAAGATCAAGTATACTAACAGACATAAAAGTTTCAAATACAGTTTAAAAACAGGGATTTAAACAGTTGCTTGATTTTGACATTCCATTTAAATAATAATAGACATAGTGGTGGCCTCCAAAGGAGTACAAGCTATAATAACTTCATGTTGGGTCAACTTAACAAACAAAGATATATTGTGCCACAAACTTCAGAGCAACCCAAAATGATCTTCAGACTTTAGTTGGTAATATTAATTGGCTCCATCCACATTTTGGGCTGATTTCTCGGAAGCTATTGTCATTCTTCAAGTAAGTTAATTCAATTTGCTTCTTTTCACAATAGGCCATACTAGGTTAAGAGAGGCTACATGATGGCTTCCTCTTCCAAAATACAAAATATTGGTTTCTCACTGTACAATCAAAATTCAATTCCAAAAACAAAAGGATTCAATCTCTCCAACTTCACTTGTCAACATACACCATGAAATTTTTTTAATATTTTACAAAAGACAGAAGTACAGCAACAAAATGATAATTCATATAGGTAAAGAAAAAAAGAAAAAAAAAAAAGACTAATTTGAGTTACAGGATACATCTGTACTTTTCCAGAGAATGCCAAGTGAACTGTTTGGGTACCAGACTGACCAGACTGTGCTGTTAGGCCACACCATAAAGCCAGACCTGGAGAAGCTGAGTATCATGGAGGCTAGTTTCGACCTGGGGCCTAATGAAGGAACTGAGAAAATGGAAATCTAAGGTCTAAATAGGTGATAAAGTATATAGAGATAACTGAGCTGAAATAATTCTTAAGACAAAACAAACTAAAAAATACAAAATATAAGGGCCAGCAAGATATCTCAGTGGACGTGCTTAGGCAAGCGCAGGGACTGGGATTCGATGCCTGGCACCACATGCCACACCAGCCCTGCCCCCAGGTGTGCTGAGCTGACACCAAGACCGGATATGGTAGCACACACCTGTAATCCCAGCACTGGGGAAGCTGAAAACAGGAGGATCACTATGAGTCCAAGCTGTGTAGTGAGACCCTATACCAAATACGTTAAAAAATACAAAATATGTATATTCTAGTCCTTCCAAATTTTTCTGACAAGAGATCTCTGCTAATTGACAACAAACTATGACTAGTCTACAATCATCAATTTATAAAACTTGTAATAGAGTTGCTATAGTTCAATTTGGTCAAGAATATATTTGAGTGCACTCTGAGATGTGTGTTCTGTGTACCTGTTTACATGTTTGTGCGTCATTCTGTGAACAGCTGTTCCTCTTTTTGAGCTTTGAGATATAGACTTACTGATAGGTCTGGGGGGATAGCTCAATGGTCTAAGTTCCTGCTTAGGCAAGCACAGAGACCACGTGTCACACCAGTCACACCCTCTGGGCACACTGAGCCTGCCACCAAGACAGGATGTGGTGGCACAGGCCTATAATCACAACACTGGGAAGGCCAAAAACAGGAGAATCACTACAACTCTTGAGTTTGAGCTGCTCCAAGCTGTATAGTGAGACCCTGTACGAAATACATTTTTTAAAAAACTGATGATCTATCATATCAGTTAAATTAATATAAGTAGCCAACGTTTAGGAGAACATACTAAATGCAAGAAACCTAAACATACAATATAAAGAAGTATCTGTTGCTGTTACCTTGCAAAATTTAGGAAACAAGTATATGAAAAATGAAAAATAAAAGTCACAGTTTGGATCCATGTTAAAAAAAAAAGATAAACAATAAAATGGCAGAATGTAGATAAAATTACGGGCTGCTTGTCATGACATGCCAGTTGCTGCCATGCTGTCTCTCAGGTAGATGACTGTTCAAAAAGAAGGGGGTGGTGAATGAAGGCAGGAGACAGGAAAAGCACATACAAAGCAATAGTGTTCCTATATACTAAGTATGAGCCAAATGAGAAAGAAAGCAGAAAAAGGATCCTACTCACAGTAGCCTCAAACAAGTAGCTTGGAATCAACCTAACCAAGAAAAAAAAAAAAAACTTATTGCACCGAAAAAAAAGGTTGAAACTTTAGACATTGAAAATCTTATGGAAAACCTACTACTATTATGGACTATTGGGCTATATTGGGATATTTTGCTGAATTCATGTACCTACAGTATTTAAATGCCAATGGAATGCCCTTCTCTGATGAAACTAACCAAAAAAGGGGATACAAATGAATGACCATTTTGTATCTGAATACTCAAACTAGGATAGATATACAGCTCCATTTTCTTAATTCAGTGAATAGAGAGGTTTGTTCTAATAGTGTTTGAGACAGGAATATCAGGTCTGCATCTTGTACAATGAATAACCACTAAGACAAACAATATGCAATGTATTAATTATTGAAAATGAACTAGTAATCGGTTGTGAAACTGTCTCACTGTTTCTCGATAAAAATATTTTTAAAAAGAAAAAAATAAAATGAAATGGGCTGGGGAAGTACGCTTAGCTTATTCCTTGCTGCTGGTGGACACCGCAGAGGAAGCATCATCAGTCTCTCTTCTGACTGCTGTCGTATCTAAGTCAGAGTCTCCCAAGGAGCCCAAACAGCTAGGGAGGCTCTTCATCGGAGGGCTGAGCTTTGAAACAACTGATGAGAGTCTGAGAAGCCATTTTGAGCAATGGAGAACATGCACAGACTGAGTGCTGTTGAGAGACCCTAACACCAAGCATTCCAGGGGCTTTGGGTTTGTCACTTATGCCACTGTGGGAGAGGTGGATGCAACCACGAATGCAAAGCCACATAAAGTGGACAGAAGAGTTGTGGAACCAAAGAGAGCTGTCTCAAGAGAAGATTCTCAAAGACCAGGTGCCCACTTAACGGTGAAGAAATTTTTGTTGGTGGCATTAAAGAAGATACTGAAGAACATCACCTATGAGATTATTTTGAACAATATGGAAAAATCAAAGTGATTAAAATTATGACCAACAGAGGCAGTGGAAAAAAGAGAGGCTTTTCTTTTGTAACCTTTGATGACCATGATTCTGTGGATAAGATTGTCATTCACAAATACCACACTGTGAACAGCCACAACTGTGAAGTGAGGAAAGCCCTGTCCAAGCAAGAGATGGCTAGTGCTTCATCTAGCCAAAGAGGTCGAAGTGGTTCTGGAAACTTTGCTGGTGGTTGTGGAGGAGGTTTTGGTGGCAATGACAGTTTCGGTCATGGAGGAATCTTCAGTGGTCGAGGTGGCTTTGGTGGCAGCCATGGTGGGGGTGGATATGGTGACAGTGGAGATGGCTACAATGGATTTGGTAATGATGGAAGCAATTATGGAGGTGGTGGAAGCCATAATGAATTTGGCAATTACAACAGTCGGTCTTCAAAGTTTGGACCCATGAAGGGAGGAAACTTTCGAGGCAGAAGCTCTGGGCCCTATGGTTGTGGAGGCCAATATTTTACCAAACCACAAAATTAAGGTGGCTATGGTGGCTCCAGCAGCAGCAGTACCTATGGCAGTGGCAGAAGGTTTTAAACACCTCCAGGAAACAAAGCTTAGCAGGAGAGGAGAGCCAAAGAAGTGACAGGGAAGCTATAGGTCACAACAGATTTGTGAACTTAGCCAAGCACAGTGGTGGCAGGGCCTAGCTGCTACAAAGAAGACATGTTTTAGACAATGTGTATGGGCAAAAAACTCCAGTGTATTTATGACTAATTGTATAAAAGGTTATTTTAGTTTCTGTTCTGTGGAAAGTGTCAAGCATTCCAACAAAGGGTTTTAATGTGGACCTTTTTTTGCACCCATGCTGTTGATTGCTAAATAATCTGATCATGACACTGAATAAATATATTTTTAAAATGTGCTGTGTAAAGTTAGTCTATTCTGAAGCCATCTTGGTTAACATCCCCAACAGTGTGAAGTTAGAATTCCTTCAGGGTGATGCCAAGTTCTATTTAAAATTTCTTTACGATTGCTTGGTTAAAGTCACTGTCTTCAGAAACCTTGGTGTAGCTGAACCGACAGTTACTGTTGTAACCTCTGAATTTGACCAATGAAAAGGTCACCCAAGCAAACAGTCAGCTACTTGGTTATAAAAATGATTGTTGGCACATCCTATATATCTAAATTGAATAATGGTACCAGATACAATGATAGATGGGATTGAAGCTGTATATCATCCATTATCATGTGAAATCAATAAATGATTTCTCTTGAAAAAGAAATAAAAAATAATAAAATGGGCTGGGGAGATACCTCAGAGGCATAAGCACCTATCTGGCAAACACAAGGTCCCAAGTTCGATCCTTGGACCCACACGTTGTGCAGGCCCTGGAACACAAGGTGTGCCATGCCAGCCCTGGAACCAGGCATAGTGGCACCCGCCTATAATCCTAGCACTCAGCAGGTTGAGACAGGAGGATAAGTACTAGTTCAAAATCAGTCTGAGGACTATAAAAGTGAGCACAGGGCCAGCCTGAACTATATAGTGAGGCTCTGTCTCAAAAAAAAAAAAAAAAAAAAAAAAGGCCAAATCAGGTAAAGTCCCTTACATTATTAGACAGAGACAGGAATTCAAGTCTGTTTTCTTATAGAAGTTCTATTTTGTGGTCTAGGTTTAAAATGTAGAGGTTGAGGTTAAAAAAAAATTGGAGTGAAAATACCTGCATTTATGGTTTATCAAAAATATTGTCAAGAGTGTGACAAATTAAGTGAAGGTAACAGCCTACCTGTAATTATAATTCCATATTATAATTACATATTACAGATTGGTTAAACATGTTATGTCACAATAAAAATGTGTCACAAAATAATGTGTCATCCTGCAATGTTGTACATATGGTTTTGACTTCTACATTTCTGTGTAAAAATATATAATTACGGTCTTTTAACATTTTACAGAGATTCAAGTTAATACTTGAATCAACCATATCCATGGTTGTTAAAAAAATAATAGTTCCATTTTATGCCTAAGGTGTTTGACAAATGGCAAGAGGATTTAGAAAATAAAGACAAGAGATAATAAGTGAGATCAGATGGTGGACCAGGCCTGCTTGGCAAAGGACCCCAGAACAATGGTAAGGGCATTTATACCTTTGCAAAGTTACAAGACACAAGGTTGCCTAGCGACTCATGGTCAACAATGTCTATACAGGATGTCTCTCAAGACTGAGGTACTTGACTGCTTTACACAATGAGGCTCATTCTGCCCTCCCACATATGATGAATTTCAAGCTTTAGCTGCTCCCAAACAACATCAACTAGTACACATCTCCCTAAGGCCTTTAGAAGCATGGAACCAGTATTAATTATGTCATTTTCTTTAAAAGGTAGAAAGATGGTTGTCTACATGAAACTGAATTTTTAAGTGCTGGCAAGTGAACTTACCAGTGCCAACCAGTAAAAACACTGAATCTGCCAGTTCTCAAACTGACTTACCTTTGATATTCACAGATGACCATGACATTAGCTCGAAGAGTAGCTGTCTGCTCTGGTCACTATCTTGGGAAGAAAAAGCAGAAAAACCAGACAGAGTTCTTAGAACTGTCTTCCGCCAGGACTTTTAAGGTCATTCCCACTGGGAACGACTGGAAGAAAAGGCGTGTATGGAAAGAGCCGACAGCCAGAGTCTATGCCTTGTCTCTTCCTGATTTTAAAGGAGGGGAACTTGCAAGATGGATCCATGGGAGCTCAGGGAAAGATGAAGTTCTTTGGAGAAGCATACTTGTGATGAGAAATTCATACAGCAAACACTTTAATTAGGGAGGCCAAGGAAGTCCCTGTATAAGACTTTTTTAAAACTAGACACCTTGACGCAGTACCTAGCTACAGAATTTTTTCATTTTAGGGAGACACAGAGGGTAAGATTCCTTCACCTAATCTGGAATTCAAGTCTGCTTCCTTATAGATGTTCTCCTTTTTCTGGTCTAGGTTAAAAATGCAGAGTTTGAGGTTAAAAAAAAAATTGAGAGTGAAAATACCTGTTTTTACAGTTTAACCAAAAATATTATCTCGAGTGTGACAATTTAAGTGAAGGTAACAGCCTACCTGTAATTATAATTCCATACCACCACCATGTGCATTCTGTGCTGCTTTTATTTTATCAAAAAGCTAATTTCAGATCTACATTAAGTTGAATACAGTCTTTGTGATGAAGGCCTGGTAGTCTCATTTACAAAAACATAGCCAGTGTTCTCTTTAGCCTTAAAATTTCAGGAAAGGAACTTCAAATGGCTTCGTGGTTGCATGTTTCAGCGCCAGAGCATAGGAGTAGACTCTGGCATCCACTGTAAGGTGTTCTTCAGCTACCAGTGCTACAGGAAGCAAAGAATACAACTTAGGTAACACACTTAAAAATGGGCAGTTCCACAAGTCAATCAGCATTTACTGAGTTATTATTACATGCGAGTTCCTATGTGAGATACTAGTGCTACTTTTAAAGATTTCCAAAAAAAAAAAAAAAAAAGCATTTGAGAGGCTAAGGCAGGAGGATCATCCCAAATTCAAGGCCAGAAAGACCTTTTACCAGAAAACAACAAAGGAGATATAAAGGACAGAAAAGCAGGATCACATTTCCAGTGTAAGCCAAACACAGTAGGAATAATGGCTTTATACAGAGACAAAAAAGCTGTAAGTTTATATTTCTGCTACATTTTTATTTACAGTTTAGGCAGGCAAACTATTCTCTAACACTAAGGTAGTGGTTATACAGTAGTTTCCTATTCATGGATTCAAGGATCTCTTTTAACCACTAGAGGGTATATACATTTTCCCCTTTAAGCTGAACTATGTACGTATTAGGATACACTAAGGACATACTGGAAGAACACTATAAAGAATATGCTCTAGAATCACTGCACACCTTAGAACTTCTGTGTCCCTGTGATGGAGGTCATCACTTTGTGGCTAATTCCCCTGGTCACTTACCTGAAAACAAGCTCAGACAGTGATCCTTAAAGGGTGTAAGGATGGGCATTGGTAGGAGCCAAATGCAATATTCTTGTGCAGCATAATCTTAAAGTATTTCTCTTACAGTTCCAAATGTTCTTTCTTGAATAAATTATTTGAGTGCTGTATCCTGATTCTACTGAAACTAAGCAAACTGGTTCCTTTTCCCTTTTTTCCCCCTCTTCTAAGGCCAGCAAGGAAGTTATGGTGGGAGATGAAAGATTAGAAAAAGGACATTCTACTTAGATAAAAATAAATAATAACACTCAAGTACTTGTGTATCATGATCCCATTTAACTTTGTTCATGCCTCTCAGAAGTAGGGGCTATTAATCTCAACTTTAAAAAAAAAAAAAAAAGCTTACGCTAAGACCTGCTCAAAGTCATAACTAATATTGATCAGCTAACCTCAAACTCTGTCAATCCAGTCAGACCCAGCAGATTCTGAGTTGTTCTGTTACTCTCACAAGTTTCTCTGAATAAATGTTCAGTAGATTACTGTGTCTCTTTAAAAAAAATTTTTTTAAGTACAGCTTTGAGATCTTAAGGTGGTCTTAAGTCAAATATGTTTAAAAAGTAAAGTAGAAACAGAGATTCTCTGAGAATCTGAAATCAATGCAACTTCTGAAAGACATCTACTTTTCAAACAATACAGACATTTCAAACTAGAGGGCTCAATTTATGAAATAAAACTAAGCCATAGCAATCATGGAAGAAAGTAAGAACTGCTCTCAAAGTTTCAGATCAAGTAATGATTCAAGTTAATTTAAGAATCATTATTTAAAAACAAAAATTAGGTATCAATGAAACATTCATATTATGAACAGGCTTTGCTTCTTTATAAATGAGCAAATGGGGATCTATCCAGTCAGCATATAGGTAACCCTGGAAGGACAGGTCACATCTTCATTAATAGTATCTTCTCATGCAGTTGTACCAAACAACACTGCCACACAGCAGGATATTTACATGTGGGGTGGCCAAGAATGACACAACCTAACTACATGTCCAGTGGTGCAGGGGTCACATTGCTGGTTTGATGCATTATATTAACTTTTTTGTTTCTCTTGGTCTTTTTGAGACATAGTGTTGCTGTGCAGTTCAGCTGGCCTTGAGCTCACTTTGTAACCCAGGCTTGTCTCAAACTCCCAACAATCCTCCTGCCTAAGCCTCTTGAGTGCTAGGATTACAGGCATGAGCCATTATGCCCAGCTTCATTATATTAACTTGTCTTACTTAGTATACAATAATTATTTCAAATTCTTAATAAAAGAATGTTGTTGAATCCTGCTAAACTTACACTTTTCACAAAGAACTATCTAACATATCTAACAGTAGAGTTGAAGAAAATCTTAATAGATATCTACTTTTACTTTTGCATTGCTATGGATTAAAAATTTTAAAGTATAGAATCATTTTAGCTGTTCAGCAGGATAACTAACCATTCTGTAGGAGAAAAATAGTCTTCACTTGACATAGGATGGTTTCCTCATATTTTTTAACTATATGCCACCCACCTAGTATTGTCAAATTCAGTTTTACGACAGTTTTCAGTACTTAACATTGATGAGATAAAAGGAATTTAATACCTCAATTGCTGGGGATAGGATTAAGGCAAATAGTGAAGATAGAGTAATCTTAAGAATGCTTACCATCAAGTCTATTCAGCAGGTCATTCTTTGGTAAAGAAATTACCTCCACAAATTCTAAACAAACAAAGTGCAAGTGAAAACAGAGCTGAAGAACAAGATCCTACCAAACAACCCACAATGTCTGTTGCCTGTACTAAGCCATGCACCAGGATAGCCACTGGGAGTTGAGTTGAGTAACATACCTCCATCCCCTGAAAATAAAGAGAAGGAGAACACCGTTAGCAAGTCTGGAGGGATAAAGTTGGGAAGATTACAATGCAAGACAACAAAATGACTAAAGAATTTAGCAGATTTAAGATTCTAGAAATTAATCTCAAAGGAGAACCAGTTTCAACAGTATGAAGTTAATATTCTCTAAACTTAAAGCACATTCTGTAACAACTTTATATTTACATAAATATTTGTTATAATTCAGTTGCATTAAGTAATATTCACAATGTTGTACACTCACTATCATTATGAATCTCATAAAAGTTTCATCATCCCCAAACAGAAACTTGGAACCCATTAACAATAACTTCTCATCCCTTATCACCTTTATGTTCTGTCTATGAATTTGCCCATTCTGCATATTTCTTTTTTTTTTTAAATACAAAATTATTTTATTAGAGACCAAAATTCTGGTAATTCTCTTGCAGCTTGCTCTTCTGTGCCTGGCTTACTTCACTTGACAAAATGTTTTTAAGGTTCATCCATATTGTAGCATTTCATGCTTATGGCTCAGTGATGTTTCACATTTGGCTTATCCATTCACTTACAGATGGACCTTGTAGCTGTTTCCACTTTGACTAATGTGAGTGACGTTAATAAAGTAGCGTGTAAGTATCTGATCAGTTCTTTGGGGTATATAAATAAGAGTGCAAATGCCAGATCATGAAGTACTTCTGGAGTTACCTGTTCATAAGGAATTGCCAAACTTTTCTACTATGTGTCACTTGAATATTTATAATTTTAAAATTAAGCATTTATAGTTGGCTATAACGGAATATTAAAATGTAATAACTACTAAAGAGGGTAAGAAATTAGAGAATTATCACTCATACATAATTTACTCTTGTACATATACTCTTATACATAATACCCCTGTAATGAGGTGGGAGAGATGACATGAAATTGAAAAACACATTCAATCCTCTGAGCCCAAACTTGCTATGAAATATATTTAAGGGAAGATTATCATACCAGTTTCTCTAAAAAACATAGAAGTTCAAAAGGAATAATTGTTAACCAGCTGTTCTTTAACAATTATGCCATTCTTACAACACATAGTACAGCAGAAACTCAGGTGATTTTGAAGTTTCCTACTATATTTATGCTTGCAGCTCATATTATCAAGTGGAGCAAACCTCATACAAAAAATACTGAAATGTGTAATCTAACTTACAAAAAATACTTAATTCAACTCAATCGTTCTAAGTGAAGCCAAAACACACTTACCTGGTTTTGGCTTCGGTCTTACATTTTCTGCATCATCTCCATTGATTGTCACTGTCACAATATGTGTGGTACAATTCGACAAGCCTGGGTCCATACATACAGCTATGGAAAGAAGCAACGATCCATCCTAAGAAGCCAGTTGAATGTTGCAGTCCCCTTTGTAACTTATCTCACTTAAATGTCTTAGGAAGATGACACAGGGCCTAGGAATCACAGTTAACATAGAAGTGATAGAGTAAAATTACAGCTATTATATTCACTCAGTATATGTGGTGGTACAGAGTACAAAGCATCTATGTACTAGCTTCCCAAACACTTCCCAGAGCTCTTGAGTCAAGTTTGATAAGTTAGAAGGGTTAGATGACACCAACAAGTCCTAAGAAAAAAGATACAACAGGAGCAAAAAAACCAAAACAACAATACAAAACCTTCCAGTGAAGACTGTGGCATGTGAAGGAGGTAAATAACAAAGTCTAGAATGTGGAAAATTCTGAAAGGCTACCTAATTTTATAATTCCCAACTTCAGGTCCTTATTGTTCTAACTTGTTCCTATAAGAAGACACCTACTTATAGCTGGTGATCAATCCTAATCTCTTATTTCTCTTCACAAAATTAGATGAGATAAATACATCTGAATTATGATCAGGAAGAATTACTCATACACTCATATAATCACTTTATGTACAGAAGAATTTATCATTTGGTTAATTTTCAAGAGACTGTGCAAGAGCCAACTTGGAAAGCAGCACAAACCTGGGGAACATTCAGCAACATCGCCTTTATACCCAGTTTCTTCTTCTAATTCTCGAAGTGCAGCTGCTTCTGGACTCTCATTGTCATCAATGAGACCTGTCAGATGGGAAAGGGAAACCCAGTTCATTCTTCTAACAAAGTTGCTGCTGAACTTTGTGAAAAGTGGTCTCACAACTAAAACTGATTGAAGTTTTATAAAGTATGGAGACAAAAAGACACAGGAATAAAACCGTTGGCAGATTAGATAGGTTCTCTAGGTTCTGACTAGTATCTTCCATTCCTTATTATTTACATCTCAAGAATATTAGTGTTTATGAAGAAAAGGGACTTGATGATAGCCAAATAGCTTAGGCTTTTGAAGCCAGCTATGTGACTACAGCATAGAAATTATAATCTTTTATCTTTTTTAATTTTTAATCTAAGATGGTGACAGTTTTACCTATCTTGACTTCTTCCCTCACAGAACAATATTGAGGCCTGGTAGTGACATGCCAAAATGGACTGAAGGCTATGGACTTGAGGTAACCACAATGGTCAGGGTACAGGTCAAGCAGAGGGGTCAGTGGAAGGAGAAAAGCAACTCAGATTCTTTTTCCTGAGTGGAATAAAACAGTGAGAAAAAAAAAAAGTAAAATGTAGGCTACGTGGTTACTTTTAATGTTACTAATCTCTGTATAAGATGGCAGGTAAATGAGAAGAGTTGTTATGATGCCATAGCTGGGCTCTCCTCCACTGCAGAGGATCAGACCCGGGCTTTGTGCACAGAGTGCTACTGCTATGCATTCAGCTACAAAACCTGTATTGTGACTGATAAATAATGGGACAACCTCTTCACACAGGGACAACCCAGAAATCGTACCTTAGTATAGTACCTTCAATTCTGGATCACTTTTCAAATTACTGTGTGACTGGAAAAAAATTTACTTTTTGAAACTGAGAATCTCTCTAACCTGTTTATATACAACAGGTCAAAGTGTCTTTTCTATGGATAACTTCAGGAGTTAAGAGCCTGCCCTACATATTACTGTAAATTTCTTACTTGGAAAGAACAGTAGTGAAAGTTAAGATGACAAATTATGAAATAGCAATTATTCTAGAAGCTGGGGATAGCACTGCCAAGGTCACAGGGCAATGTGGAGAGGCTACACACTGAGCCTCACACTGTCTTCACACATGGCCACTCGCCTACAGAAGCCTCACAATGGAAATGATTTTATTTACAGCTGCATGTTTATGGTCATAGAAAAAATGCTACAGTACGCACGACAGTTCTCAGGCTTTGCCTTGGCTCAAACCAACAGACCATGAGAAATGAGTGGCATTGTTTACTCACCTGCAGGGAACTCTAAGCAGTAGCCACCCACTGGTGGTCGGAACTGCTTCACTAGAACGACACACTCATAATGAAGAGTCCTTTGCAGCACTGGGATGACTGCTACGCCTGTCACCAGAAAATGAAACAAGGATAGCTTAAGAAAAGCTGGCCAGATTACCAATTTGTTTATAGCAATCTGACTAAACCCCTGAGTGTAAGAAACTCTTCCCAAATCTACTCTGAATTTGCCATTAAGTAGTAAGAAGTTAACTTAGATAATATTCAAATAACGGAACTTAACAAAAAAGGGTATACAGACGATTGTATCTGTGTATTCAAAGTGGTCTGGATAGATATACAGTTACATTCTCTTAATGAATACAATGATTCTTGTACAGCAATTAACCACTAGGAAGAATGTATACAGTGTGTTAATTATTGAAATTGTCCTACCGATTTGATTCGCAACTGTCTCGTTGCTATTTGTTTATCAATAAAATTACGGGAAAGAAAAAGAAGTTAACTTAGTGCTGCAGTTAACTTTGGAAGTTATTCTCATTTTTTTAAATTACACTTCTATATTTGAATTTATTTTCTAAATAAAAAGATCGTTTTAGTTGTTACACTTTTGAGAAAGCAAAAGGGTCTTGTTATGTTGCTTAGGCTGGCCTTGAACTCATGACCGTCCTGCCTCAGCCTTTAAGTAGCTGGGCCTTAAAACTACTTAAGTATGAGCCACCATGTCCAGTCACAATTTTCAAAAAAAGAAAATTAAAACTGAGACCAAACATTCCACATAAGATCAAGGATATGAAACTTTAGACCACATTAACCTCTACACAGCACCCTTTCTCACCATTTGGCAGTTGGATCACCAGTGAAATTGAAATGATCGCTGTGCTCCTTATTTTCTTTGAGCAATAAACCAAATGTATTGTTTCTTTGCATGCTAACTATAACTAGACTTTAACTGTTTTAGGTAAATGATGTATTCTTTCAAATCATGTGGCCTTACTCAAAACAGAAGTCACTGGCTTCTAGAAAACACACATTACCCAGAAAGAATGCTCGGCTTCTCCTAAATACATCTGCATTGCTTCAGAACAGCAAATGCAGCCAAGCTATAGTTTGCTTCCACTAAAAATGGACACTGGGAAAGTTCCCAAATGGAAAAATAAAAAACAAAAGCAAGAAAGAGTTCTGAACTTCGTTACGACCACACATGACTGTCAGGATTGTTTCCAGGTTCTGTGCAGTCAAACCACTTATGCCTGGAAGGGAAAATGAGCTGAGGCAATAGTCTTTTCCCAATTCATTTCCTCAACTCAGTAGGCAAGTGGTGAGCAGCACAAAGTTATGCCACATTACTTTTTAAGGCTCTCTCTAAGATCCTTTGAACAGGGTTTGAGTCTAGAAGTCTTTTTTTTTTTTTTTTTTTTTTTTGTATTTTAGGGAAAGGTTTACCGGATGTTCAGGGTCTCACTACTAGATTGGACTCATAGTGATCCCCCTGTTTACAGCCTCCCAAGAGCTGGGATTACAGGCGCACAGCACCACGCCCAGTCTCAATTGTCCTCTCAGCTTGTCCAGGGGGTGGGGCCGGCAAGGCAAACCCGGGGATTGAGCCTCCAGCCCCTGCTTGCAGGCACTTTAATCTTAAGTCTTAACATACATAGCCAGACATAGTAAATGGCTTTAAAGAGTATTAATTTGTTTGACATAAACAGTAGTGTATCTTCTCAAAACACTGTACTGAGCTTCAGTACAGTATGTCTCTCACAAAGGAAGCTTCAGTCTTTTGTTACTTTGCCCTCCTATAACCATACAAGACCATATCTTTCTGAAGAAAGCTTGTAATTATCATACCATCAGCAGACTGCCCCTTCCTGGTTGTACGTTTCACTGTTTCCCAAGTTCTGTTCAAGCAGAGAAGAAAAAAACTCATTAGCGCTAAAGAAGAGCACAGGCTTAGGTTTTCTGTGACCAACTAGAAATTCACAAATGCAATGCATGCAAATGTACTAATATTGGTCAAGAAGACTGCAATGATACAGATCTGAATTAAAGGCCAACTGCAGTTTCTGAAATTACCAAAGAAAACTATCGCCATTTCATAGGTAACCCTCTGGATGCCATCTACATACAAAGCCTCCTGAGCATTTGAGCTTTTTTCTCAAACTACTTCAGTTGGGATCATCAGTCTGCTGAAGTGGCACAGCTGGTGGTTATGGCTGTGAAGGCTGTTAACACACAGTGATTCAAGGAGAGCACACGAACATCCCAGCTGGGTCTTAAGGAAGGAAAGACACCCTACATGATGTGAACTCCTGAGATTACTTATTCAAATCTCTTGGTAATCTTTTGGTAATGATCTAAACAATACAACTTAAGAAAGTAAAATATTCCTATTTATTGAAGAATTACTACATTTTAAAAAGTGCTCTACTTTGCTTAAGTTAGGTCTTAACCAAGGGGGCAAAAGTGGTCTTCAGAGGAAAAAGTGAAGTGAATAAAAGCAAATTCCTATTCTCTTTTATGGTTTTACTCAATGTCAGCCATTTGTTTCTAGCTGTGTCACCTACTTCAGGTTTTGCTAACATCTGTACTACTGGACTTCTTACAGGAACACTATGTAGTCATATGAAAAATCATCACATTTCAAGGGAAAAGGCATAATGGGAAGTTACTCCTTTTATTCTCACGTCCCATAACTAGAGTGGAGAAGCAAACAATTTCAGGATTTCTCCTAACGGAAGTTAGTTATCTAGTGGCAATGGGGACTGGGATAAGAAAGGTGTCAACAGAATTACAAGATTCACTACTAGTGTCCAAGCAGTAAAATCTCCAGTTCATTTTCTCTCATTCTAAGGTCTGAACCTTGCCCCATTTCTTTCTTTCTTTCTTTCTTTCTTTCTTTCTTTCTTTCTTTCTTCTTTTTGAAGCACTGGGGATTTAACTCAGGACCTTGCACTTGCCAAGCAGGCACTTACTCGAATGAGCTGTATCCTGGGCTCTTGAAATTCTTTTGCAGGGAGTTAATGTACCTATAAAACTGTATATCTTGCAGCATTATACCCAAATTCTAAAGGGCAATCTGTTGAAATGAGCCTATGAAAATTAAACAGACCACTATGACAACTCACAGCAGCCCAACATTCCTGTTAGTAGCAAAAAACCAACCAACAAGCAATTTCTGATAAGTAAATAATACAGATTGCAAGAGACAAAACACCTTTTGGCACAGCTCTCTCTGCTGCCTCTTAAGGTTAGTCTTAAAGACTGAAGGAAGTGTTGGGAAAAGCACTGAAGGTCCCAGCCTAAATACACTAGGAATAAGGGAAACAAAAAAAAAAGAGTAGCATCATTACAGTGGTTAAGGAGAAGAAAATAAGCAGTAAAGAGCCATAAAGTATGAGCAGTAACATATAAATGCATTCATAAGAAACATTAGAACAAGAATGTCCTTGTGAGAGCACCAACAATCTTTTTTCCTTTTTGGGAGGTACTGGGGGTTGAACCCAGGGCCTTTGCACTGAGCTACATCTCTAGCCCAGTTTTACTTTTAGATAAGACCTTACTAAATCCAACAATCTTAAAGGGACTTGGAGAGGTGTACTTGTGACTAAATGTGAGAAAATCTTGCTGATTTGCTAAACCCCAAGGTACAACCTCCAGGAGATGTTTCTTTGCAAAATCAGTGGTTAAGTATGCTACACTATCTCAGAATGAGTAGGCTAACTCAAAAATCTCTTCTAGCTTTAGAATTCTGCTTCCATTTAATTTACTCTATTCTCTAGTATCTTTTGTTACAGGAAACCATGGTCATGGTTTGCTTTCCTCTCACTGACCAATGCAAGAGCTAGAAAAGCAACAAAAGATTATGGCCCCAGCACTGTCTTGATTGTCAATATAGGGACTTAGTAATAATAGATAGATAGATAGATTTATGTCATCTATCTATCTATCTATCTATCTATCTATCTATCTAATGTTTTTGAGGGCTGGAGAGATGGCTCAGTGGTCTAAAGCACCTACTTGAAACAAGCTTGGCAATGCACAGGGACCGCGGTTCAATCCCCCAGCACCACATGCCAGCCAGCCCCACCCCCTGGTGGGCTGAGCTGGCCACACACACACACACACACACACACACACACAAACAAACAAATAAATAAATGTTTAATGTTTTTGAGACAGGATCTTGCCAGGTAGGCCAGACTGGCCTCAAACTCATGGTAGGCCTCTTACCTCAGCCTCCTGAATGATGACTACCCTGTATTTTTATACTTATAAAAGTAACTCTATACCGTTTCTTCCATGAATGAGACAAAGGATAAAACAAAAGATTCTCTAGATATTTTATTTTTTAAGCTAGGTAATAACGCATTTTTATACATTTTAAGAAGTCTACTAGAAAATAGATTTGTTCCTTAAACTCTGACATTTTGGTAAGAAATGTTAATGCTTTATACAAAACCTGGTCAGAGGTCAAGAGGAAGACTCATGTATGGAAGAATGGAAGTGAGCACCTACAGACTGCATTAACACAGTACTTTGGTGAAGACTTTAGAGCCTACTCCCAAAACTAATGTTGACTCTCTTAAGGTGTGATCTGCACATAAGCATACTGAAAAACAAAAATCTCAAATGATCCTGATGTAGTCCTGCTGGATGAATGCTGGAGGAAAGATGACTAGTGCAGAGAAACTGATATGAATTAATACATACTCTCTAAGCTAGTTAGTGATAAGGGACACAAGTTATAAACTAATACAAATACATCTGAATACGCTGTGCTCCCTAAAGCCTGAGCCTTGCCACATGCTATGGTAGGTCTGGCCCTATGACAACTTGTTTCACATCTAGTTCTACAGATCAGACTGACTATACACTTTAAATACTCTAAGGTCATAGTCAATCTTCCATAGCACTGAAGGATCACAGTGTGCTGATTTGGCTTCTTTCCTACGGTTCTACTGAACCTTACTAATGGTTTTCTACTTTAGAAACTGTATCGAAAATTTTTTAAATTATTGGAAAACCCATGTATGTTCACCTTGATAACAGATATAGTTGTTCATAGAGAAATCATGTCTATTTGATCACTTTGCAAATAATTTTTATATTAATGAATTTGAATCACACAATCTGTACACTAAACTTAGTTTCCATGTTTTTCTTTGTTTTATTATACTAAATAGTAACTAAATATTTAAACATTTTTTTCCTGGTAGTTTACAATGTCAAAACTTGCTAAGCAGGAAATTTGGAAGACAAAAATTAATTGTATAGCTGCTTTTTCACTATTCTTGTTTCTATTCTAAACTTTTCTTACACATTTGGCAGTTTTAAAAAGTGTATAGGGGCTGGGGATATAGCTCAGTGGAATAAGTGCTTGCCTGGCAAGTGCAAGGTCCTGAGTTCGATCCCTGGTACCACCAAATAAATAAATAGATAGCATATACACTGTTTTCTATTTTTATTATCGACATACTAACTTTCCCAAGTATATTATATTTCTTCAAATTTATATAAATTTATATTATATTATATATAATATATAATTATATATTATTATATAAATAAATTATATTTCTTCAAATATATTATAAAAATTAATTCCCTAGTTTTTTACCAGCGCTAGGCATGGAACCCAGGGCCTCAAGAACTCTACCACTGAGCCACACAGTAGCCCTACTTCCCTACTTTTATAAGATATTTAGGTTGCTTTCTGTCTTTTAAATTTTTCATCAACATTGTTCATGTATATATTGGATTCTAAACAACAGAATATTTTCTTAGCATAGTCTCAGAAGTGGGATTATCAGGTCAAAAGATATTATTATGGCCAATACATACAGTGAAATATGCTTTGAAAAAAAAGATGTTTTTCCAATTTACATTTGTATAAGCAAGGTGTAACCACCTGAGTTTTACTTCAAAACCAGCAATATTTTTCTTAATTCTTCTTAGATTAAAAACTGGCTTCAATTAAAAAAAAACGTACTATTAATTATTCTACTTACCTTGCTTATATTCAGCTTGCCCCAAAGTTTTAGGCTTCTACTTATCTAGTGAAAATAGACTCCTAATTAGTTATTTTAACAAATTTACCACCCAGTTTCATTCAGGGATTATCAGTGATCCAAACATTCTAATAGGGAAAAATCTGTATTAGACTCAAGTACAACAGAGTTACAATGAGAAAAACATCAAAGTCTATGTCAAACACTCAACAGAGACCCAGAGAATCCAAATACTCTATATAAGAGGGCGCAAAAAGTTTACCTAGTTTTACCAGTAGGATCCATGTAAGTTGTTTTTTCAAGCTTGACCCATTTTCCTTCTGTAATTAACTAAAAGAAGATTAGATAGTAAGTTGACAAACTTTCAAATCAAGTTGTTTTTATCTAAAAGGTTTTTTTTGTTTGTTTAGGATTTTATGTATGTTGTCTCTCCAATAATTTGTGAACACGTTTTTAGTTCAGAGTAAACACTCAAGGTTGTTTTTCTTTTTGGAATTTTTGAAGTTTAGTGACAAGGAATGATAAGTTTTAAAAACTAAGAGAATGCTAGGGACAGTGCAGCAGTACAGCATGTGGTCAGGGTACGTGAGGTCCTGGGTTCAGCCTCCAGCACAAATGAGTAAATACAAACTCTTGGATTGTTAAAAGTGGTGACAGGTAAGAGGTGAGTGACACGGAGTGGTCTCCTGGGGTGATCCTAAAGTTCTGTGTCCTAGTCTGGATGCAAACTATCACCAATGGTGCCAACATCAATGATGGGAATTTCAATGGTGACATGAGTTTTCCACCCAATCTGAGCAGGCACTATTCCACTCAGACACTGAACAGTTTGGTTAAGAGGACTAACTTACCTTTGGCACTATACTGAACTGACAGGCATATTTCACTGTGTATTTAAAGCTGGAGCCTTTTCCTTACTATCCTTTCACTTCTAATAACTATCAGCAGATCTGCTTATGGATAACATGGAAAGACTTTTAAATCAAAAAGAATTCCAGAAAGATGTCAAATCTGAATTCCATGACAAGGGAATTAAAATTTGTCCTTTGTAATAGTTTTTGCAAGAAGAGACTTTTAAAAATCTAAACTGCATAATATACAAGACAAAACAACAATAAGTTGTTCTTATTCAGCTTGGGAACAAACAATTATGAAACTGTGAAATCTTAAAACTAACTTAGTATTTATTTTTCTCTCTTTAGGGAACCTTTCAATACGAATTAAGATTTTTTCTTAAGAGCCAAAGTCAAGTTATTCATTTTCATGACTACATATAAGTAAGGATATGCTATTATTCTCTCATGTAAAGCAAGAAAGTGCCTGAACCTTAAAATGGGAGTTGGAACCATGTTTAAAAACTTTCAAGAATGAATGAAAATCAATCATCTGAAACAATAAATAGCCTACAGACTTCTTTTAAATTCAGATTTGTGAAGGGAAAGGAAAGGAAAGTGAAAAATAAGTTATACCTCCTCTGAAATAACACGCTCTTTGGTATTCCGAGAAGAATCCATTGGTTCTTGGTTTTCCATTTTCAGCCTAATTTTTATAGTCCACAGATGAGAAGGCCCAGCTATAAGATAATGAGATTTGTTTAACATAAATTTTCTGAATCAGGCAATTGGCTGTAGGCATTCATCAAAGTACTTAAAGGCAAAACATTTATTCACCATCAAAGCTGTTATTCCCATGTGAGTATGTGGGCAAACATCTAGATGGAAATGGAAATAAGATACCCCTCGAAACATCCAGGCAAGAACTTCAAGGCAGCACAGTCAGAATCAGCTCTCATTAGTTCCTAATGTGCATCCAGTGGCCTATCACTGAAAGCTCTGAAAGACTCATCACTGTACAGCTCTAGGCCCTTATGTACTTTCAGGTATTTGGACTACAAATTTAAAGCTCTTACCAATGTAAAGTAACAGTAAGATTATATACAACTCCACACCATCCCTCTTCTACTTTCACTAAATGTCAACCTTTTATATGCTGTCTATGTGGGCAACTTTTATGCCTGCTTACCCTTCTCTCCTTTCATACAAGTTGAGGTAAACAAATTTACCATTTTAGTAACTTTAAGCCCACAGTGGTATTAAATATATTTATAGTCAAGCCTAATGATGCACACCTGAAATCTCAATACCCTGGGAAGCTAAGGAAGGACAATACCTCAACATGCAGCTCAGTGAGAAAAGCTTGTGTTCACTTCCAAGCCCCACACCAACACACTATTTGTGTCCCACTTTAAGTTTCAACATGCATCAAAGTCACAGCGCTCAGAATCAACTAGCACTACACAGTGGTCCCTCAGTTCACAAACTTGATTTTTTCTGGTTGCAAACTAGATTGGATGACAACTGAATAAAATTCAATTAGGTTAAATGTTGACCATATGGGGAAATTTGATTTAGTTTTCATCCAGTTCAGTTTGTGAATAGAATTGTAGAAAATTGAGTCTATAAACTGGGGTGCCACTGTAGTCTGTTATGAAAAACTCAGATTCCTACCCCACTTGTTGTCTACTAGTTATTTCTCTTTCTTGCTTACTTCATTTTTTAATTTTTTATATTTTAGGGAAAGGTCTACAGAGACATCAGACTTGTAGTGATCCACCTGTCTACCGTCTCCCAAGAGCTGGGATTACACCATGACCAGTCTCTCAATTTTTAGTCCTATTTTCTCTTCTCACCACGGATTAATAACTCAGAAACACTGCTCAGTTGTCTTGTTTCTAATGTTACTATGGAGAAGCCTGAAGTTATGCTGATTCTTGATCCTTTTTTCTTGTGAACTGTTTTCTTTCTTGGGAAGCTAGTATTAGCTCTATGCTGATGTGAATTGCACTGGCCACTCGAGAGTCCCTGCTATCTGGAAACATCAATTCTTTACAGGGACCTTGAGTTATTCTCTTGATAACTTACTCCTCAGTATTTTTTCTGTTCTTTCTCCCAACAACTATTACTTAGCCACTGGACTTCCTGAATTGATTCTGCCTTATCTTTTTCATTATTAGTTTCCATTTCCCTATTATCTTATTTGCACCTCTCCATGGCTACTCTCATTCTTCAATACTGTTTAAGTTCCGCAGCTCTGTAACCTACCTTCCTCCTAACTTCAGCTTCAGAGAAGATTCCCTTCACCTGGTTCCCATGAGAACTGTTTCCTAGACTCTCTCGTGGTCCACAAAAGCTGCAGAGACTCAAGTTGCTTAAATAAGTGGTGTCATATTTGTTTGTTCCCTACACATATCCTCTCATTTACTTAAAATATCTAACATTATATAGTTGTTGTACTGTATTATTTAGGGTATAATGACAAGAATAAAAGTCTGTTAAATCAGCTAGGAGAGGAGACACACACTTGTAATCCCAGCGCTTGGGGGCTGAGGAAGGATCTTGTGAGTGAGAGGCCAGCCTGGGTCACATTATCAATTCCAGGCCAGCCCAGACTACACAGCAAGAACCTGTCTTAAAAAAAAAAAAAAAAAAGCTCAGTTCTGCCACATTTCTCTTTGAATATTTTCAGTCTTGGAAATACAATTCACAGACACATAGGGCTAATGGTGTAGACCACCAAGGATCAATTTTCTTATCAAGTGTCTTAAAGAGCATCTTTCCTTTGTTTCTTCTGGTATCCAAAGTGATAATTATACTATTCATCAAATCTTCAATCTTTATTCCAGATCGCAAGTTGCTCTACTACAAACATACAATCAACAACAAAATGTGCCTTACCAAATCAAATACCCACTGACTTAGGGAACCTAAGTACAGTACTATGAGGCAGACCTATGAAAGGAGGCTCTGAGGGGCTCTGCATGGAGCAGCTCTCACAGAGCAGCATAAGGCTCTGCCGTAGGTCCAGGCTTTCTGGTTGGGGAGGAAGACAAGAGGAGAAGCAATGTACATGGATTGCCTGGTGACTTGAAGTTCATGGAGAAAATCAGGAAACTAAAAATTGGTGAGACAGGGTGGAGTAATCTATAAGGGATAATCAGAGAAGATTCTTTAATTTGCTGAGAGACGAACAGTCTCAAAAGTAATTCAGAAGCCAGACATACAAACATTAGAATATTTACAGAAAGTCCCTGAGCGTATTAAAACCTAGAACTCTATTAAAAGAACAGGCAGTTATTTCTTTGATTGTCTCAAATGGTAATTAAGAAAACTTTTAACTAGCATTGGTAGAGAATAATTCACATATTTCAGGCAGTCAAAGTAGTATACTGAGCCAGTTAAGAATCAAAGGTATAAAACCAACCTGTTTCTACCTGCATGCTCTAGTGGCCATAGGAAACTTTAGTAAAACTTTTGGCTATCCTTTCCCTTCAGTAGAAACATACACATCACAGGAGACTCACTAATAAAGGGAAAGTTTTTGATTCTAACATACACACACACACACACACACACACACACACACAACAAACAGCTTCTAGTTAGCCAAGTAGCCACACTCACGCATAAGATAAACAGGCTATAGTTGTGTGTGTGGTGTCAGGGATGGAAGCCAGGACTTCACGTATGCAGGGCAAGAAGCACTCTTCTCGGGAGCTAGATCCCTAGCCTCTACCTTCTTTGCAAAAGTGGCATTCTAACCCCAAATTAACCTTTTCTGTCCATACACAAACACCTAAAAAGCAGATTGAGGTCTTCAAAAGTATAAGCACCATCTTAAGATATCAAAAAGATTTCTACCTCCCCTATGAAAATGGTATTCAATCTGATTTCCAGAAACTCCAAGCAACATAGTCATAGCACAAGACACAGTAAAGCAGAGTGGCCCTGTCCCACTCTCCCAACCCTGTGTAACTAATCTCTAGGGACATTCTACTTCATCATAATAACTACACAAAAATTCACATGATTTAAAATAAATCAGTATAGCTATATGTAATAGTTTTATAATCATAAAACTTAAAATCACTTTTTAAGTGAAAATATTTTTTTCAATAATTTCACTGAGAAATAGCAATGACATAATTTCAAAACAGGTTAGTAGAGCAGTTACAATAATTAATACATTGCATATTGTCTTAGTGGTTACTCATTATACAAGATGAAGACATGATATCCTGTTTACAAACACTATTAGAACAAATCTTTCTATTCATTAAGAGAATGTAGCTGTATATCTATCCTATTTTGAATATACCGATACAAAATGGTCCTTCATTTGTATCCCCTTTTTTGGTTTAGTTTTGTCAGAGAAGGGTATTCCATTGTCATTTAAATATTATAGGTGCACAAATTCAGCAAAATATTCCAATATAGTCCAGTAGTCCATAATAGTTAAGTGAAAACATTCTGTTTAGTCTTGATCAAAATATTGTTATATTTTGGCAGTGCTTATTCTTTTGTATAGTCTATAGTAAAACCAGTCCCTTTAAAGTTGTACAAAATGTCAAGGTATTTAAGCTATCGGCTAGGGTTCCTATGTACATACAGTATCTTTAGTTACTCTCTAATTTTCAGTGGAATGTTTACCTACTAAAAAAAGGGTAAAACAGTATAACCAGAAGGATAATTCCTCATCTATTAACTTTCATTTAACTGAGACAAATACAATTAAAGGGACCAGTGAGATAGCTCAGTGGATTAAAGTGCCTGCTTAGGCAAGCTTAGACAAGCACAGGGACTGCGGGTTCGATCCCTGGCACCACATGCCACACAAGTCCTGCCTCCAGGGTGGGCTGAGCCGGCCAGAACCCTGGTGTAGTGGCATACACCTGTAATCCCAGTGCTGGGGAGGCTGAAAGCAGGATGATTACCATGAGTCTGAGCTGTGAAGTGAGACCCTGCAACAACCAAATACATAGAAAAAAAAATTAAAAAGTCTACAGATCATTTGGGATCAAGTATGTTAAACTATAAAACATTTGTTTCAAGCACCCTGTATTAAAAGACATTTAAGCTAAACTCTTAATAAGCCAAGATGATGGGGGAAAGCTAGAGACACAAATTACCAAAAGAAATAGAAGAGTGACAAACAAGGCTGGTCCTCCCAATAGAATCAATCAGTCCCAAGGAGAAGGAATATTCTGAAGCAATCCACTGACAGTGTAAAAAACAACAAAAAAAGTGCCCAATGAGTGAAAGTATATAGTACTTTTTACAACCAAATTCCCAAAATGACTCAGAAGAACTGTAGCAGCATTTCAACAATAGTACTGAAATAGGGAAAGAGTTATTTTTAGCACTGTTTCAAAAACCGAAGCAAAATAGTAATGTCTGGGGCTAGTCACTACAAGCAATAAAATGCAGAAATAGACTTAAATCCATGCTTCACACTCCACTGTGTCCACTACCATAATGGAGCTTTCCTAAACTGACTCAATGTTATTTCAAATTCAATATTGAGACCCAGGAAGCATTAAAAGCATTCCAATTAACCACATGAATAAAGAAGAAATACTACCAGGTAAGGTTAAGAAATTATGAAAGTTTGGAAAGTACTTTGGCCCCCAAACTTTCTCTCCATTCTGCTTAAAAGACAAAAACAAAACACCTGCATATATAACAGATGTTAACATTTACAAACACACTTCTCAGGAGACACAAACTTGTCTGGATCCCTGCCTCCTCCCCCTAGAATACATTGACAAAGTACTCAACTTGGACTGGGATACCATGTTTTTGTGCTAGCTAGTTTTGGGGTTAGGCAACACATACAACCACCCACTCAAGGGCAGAAAGACAGGTGAACGTTCACAAACCTGGGCATTTAAGTATTAGTAACAGCTGGACAAGCAGAATTTAAGTTTTAAGATGTTGAACTGAGAACTCAAAAGTCAGGCTGTAGAGTCTGTACTCAGGCTCATTAGTCAAACATTATACCTGATCCCTGCAATTTGTTGAGACTGTAAGTGAAGGAAAAGTCATAATAAATTATACGCTTGTCAGTATCTAACTCCTTAATAAACTTATCACAAGCATCAGCAACAGTCAACCAAATAAAAGAAGCAAGAGTTCATCAAGTGTAGTGGCACAGGCCTACAGTCCCAGCTTTAGACCAGCCACAAAAATAGTGAGACCCCAACCCGACCCATCACTCCCCTCAAAGCAAAAAAGCTACAGCAATTCCATTCATAAATATAGCTTCTCAAAGAAAGAAGGGGGTAAGGCAGCTAGAGCACTGTAATGATATAACAGAATAATCGGTGAGGCACTCTAAAAGGAATTAAATGGAGAAAATTATTTTGTGGAACTAGCTTACTTTATGATCTTATTATTAAAGTCAAGCACCAATTTAGGCATGTATAAGATGTCAGTCTCTGTAAAAATAATTACACAAAAATTCCATGATTTAGTAAGAATGAAATACTATAGCTATATTTAATAGTTTTAGTTATTATTATAGAACCTTCACTTGTTTAAGGAAAAAATTCCAACTAATTTCTTTTTTTTTGTATTACTTATGGTACTACATCAAATGGATTTAAGTGACCTTTTCTTTGATGACAGTAATTCTCAAATAATGCAGACTTCCTTTACCCACTTGGTAATGGTGAAAGCCACAAGTTCTGTGGGGTTTTTCACCCTTTTTCCAAGCAAGCCTGGACATGCATGAACACTTATTAAGAAACTATTTGGTGATTCATAATTATTTACCAGATGATTTATTATCATCCCATTTCTTTATTTTTTTTTTATTTTTTTTTTAATTTTATTTATTTGTGTGTGTGTGTGTGTGTGTGTGTGTGGCCAGCTCAGCCCACCAGGGGGCGCGGCTGGCTGGCATGTGGTGCTGGGGGATCGAACCGTGGTCCCTGTGCTTTGCTGAACTTGTTCCAAGTAGGTGCTTTAGACCACTGAGCCATCTCACCAGCCCCTATCATCCCATTTAATTCTGGTTGAGCAAGAATGATATGATTATAATGACCCTTGCAAAGGTTAACTGGTTACAACTGCAAGGTAATGAAACCCCTAAGATATCAATAGATAACACAGGTTTGCAGTAAGATAGTAACAATGACAAAAACTAAAAAAAAAAAAACCTTAATTCCTTGAAAATAGCAGTTTATAATTTGTCTTAAAACAGATTTTTAGGGAAGAAATAAATCTAAACCACTTCCAAAAAGGAAATGGTTTTAAAGGACATTGAGCCATCAAAAGGTCATGGTGTGGTGGAGCAGTCACACTTGGGTGTCCTGAGTTTGTAGCCTGATGCCCATGTAAAGAAATCCACCTGATAGTTGGAAATAATAATCTAAAAGGTCTGATCACACCATGGAGTCAACGGAAATGTGCAGTTTCATTCTTTGAATAGTAAAATAAATCACCTTCCCCATAACCACTTGATGACTTTTTTAAATATGTGTGAGAAAAAAATTATTGTCACCATTGTAGATATTTTATTTGGAGAAATCAGAATATAAACACTTCATGGCTAAGTGAAGACCAACATGGTAGTTAAAAATTTAGCTGCACTGTTTAAATACAAGAACATTTCCTGTTTCACAGTCAAAGTATTGTTAAATGTGTAACAAGTTACGTAGCTCAGCTGTTAGTACTAAAAAAAAAAAAACAAAACTAAAAGCAGTTCTAAAGTAGAAAATCTGAATAAAAGACATCTATTTCAAACACTTTTTCTATAGTTTGTATATTTGACAGAAGGATTTTTTTTTGAGGGGGGTGCTCAGGATGCCTTCAGGGCAGGTCTGGTTTGGCTTGAGCAGTCTGTATATTTGAAATCACACTTTACTTCTTTACAAATAACTTCTCTACAAAGGATAAAAAGCTTTTTTATTTGTAGCACCTCTATATCCAAACATCTCCTAAACTGTTAAAGGAGGACAATGTTCCTAGCATGCTTTCTCCCATATAATAAATTCCTTTAGTTCACTATGTAGTCCAGGCTGGCTTTGAAATCATGGTGATTTTCCTGCCTCAGCCTCTGAATTCTGGGGTAACAGGCAAGCACCACACGCCCAGCTCCCCATACAATTAGCTCTTATCTTCTATAGAAAAATCCCTTACCCAAAGCACCCCAATTAGTGCCAGTATTTCCTTCAGCTACAATGTTTACACTGCATTCTAGGCCAAATACTCTAAAAACAAATGGGTCTGTGTTATCAAGTCGACTAAGTCTATTTTCATTAGACTAATACCATTCTCGGTATTAGGGGATGGTATATTGCATCTTTCCCTCAAATTACAAAGGACTGCTCAATTTTGGACTTCAGAAATACTGGTGGTGGCACATGCCTATAATCTCAGCACTAGGGAGGCTGATGTAGGAGGATCACCTCGAGTTGGAAGCCAGTTTGGGCCACCATAGTGAGATCAAGGCTGGTCTGCACTGTGAGACCCTGTCTAAAAACAAAACAAAGTAAAACCCAAAAGAAATTGCAAATATGTCACTACAGCCCATACACTACAAACACACACTGCAATGTTAAAATCTATTTACCTGTTCTTTGAAAATGTATCCTTTCCAGCAATACTCCCAACTAACCACTTAGCCAGTAACTTTTTTTTCCTCCACTTTTTGCGATACCGGGTGTTGAACCTGGGGCAAGTTCCCAGGCCTTTCAATCTATTTCTTTATTTATTTTGAGACAGGGTGTCAACCTCACCAGGTTTGTCTCAGTTTTGCTGAAATTGCAGGCCCGCCACTTCTGACAAAAAATTACCTTCAGCAGGTAAGTTTCTAACTCCAAATAATACACTGCGGATTTATTATGAATTCTTTCTAAAGGAGCCTGAAGTCCGTGGAGTCCTTACTTCTAATTTAAACCTGCTTAGGTGGACCCATTTTTAGGCGATATCTGTTACATGCAACTGTACACGTAGGTACCTGGGTCAAACCCAAAGATTTGTCATGATACGAAACATTACCAGGTCTCAAAGGCGTTTCTTAGCTGTGCTTGACTTTTCATCCTTCTAAAGAAACCAAACAGAACTTTTAGGATGATAGGTGGAAAGCGGAGCAGACAGCAAAATGGCATTGTAAGTATAAGTAGGATTGTTCGCTGTGAGAACTCCACTGAAAATCTGTTTTGCGAAGCTGGCAACTTTTGTGGGGCTGGACTAAAACTTGTTGCGCAAAAGGACAACACTGTCGTCTACCAAATCAATCTCCCCTTCCATCACCCCCACGCCAGCGCCACCGGGAACCAGGACCATGCGGGTGGGATTCCATCCCTGTCTTTCAAAACTCATATCCACGAAGGGGGCCCATCCTCCTCCTCCGCAGACGCCTCAACAAATACTCCAGACATTTAAATGGGGCGCGCTCTGCTCCTCCGGTAGTCCAGGCTCTTCCACCCCAATCCCTGGCTGGCGCCGGCGGCGAAGCCAGATGCCAGCTCAGCCACGGACCGGGAAACGCGCGCACAGCTGTCCGAACCATCAAACGTGTTTCCTCCCGCCTTTTCACTCGCACTCCAGAGACCTCGACAGAGACTGGCCTACGCCCACTTACCTATTCCAAGGAGCGGGGTGAAGAAGGGAAAGAAGACGAAAAGAAAATAGAAGAGCCTGAAGCAGCAGTTGCACCAGATGCCACTAGCACGGCTTCAGACACCTGCGCCTCTCGCGGGGCGAAGAGGACGTGTGCGCGCCCTCCTCTCGGCACCCGTAAAAGCCCCGCTGCTGACCCTGCCTTAGACCTTCCGGGTCGAGGTGCGTCGTTGGGGACGTAACCGAACCGGAATTTTCCTAAAGTTTTTTTCTGCACACTTCTGCAGCTCCTCTCTCGGGACCAAACTCTTCGTGTGGGCGAGCATGTGTGTATGCGACACCTGCGCTAAGTGTCCTCCAAGATTCGACACGGCTTCCTTTTCTCCTACAATCTCCTGGGTTTGCGGACCGGAAGAGTCCTTAAACAAAAATAGCTCGGCGTGCACTTCCGGAAGTGAGGCGCAGGGTTCCGGGAGGGCGCTGGCGGGAGAGCGACAGGTAAGAGGCGACTGCTGCTGGAGGATGAAGAAGGAGCATGTGCTGCACTGTCAATTCTCCGCCTGGTACCCGCTTTTCCGAAGCCTAACCATCAAGAGGTAAAAGAGGAGGGGTTAGCAGAGGCTACTGGCTAAAGGGAAGTGCGATGTATGAGCAGTATCTATCAAAAAAAAAAAAAAAAAAAAACCTGCAGGCCTTGTAGATGGGAGCGATGAGGTCGAGAAGCCGACTTCCTAGTGCTGTTTGAGACGGGTAGATTAAGGAAGTAGATCAGTGCTTGCGGTGGGTCCTATTACAAGGCAGTGAGTGTGCTGCAGGAAGTGGGAGGGTAGGTCATGATTCTGTGACGGTGGATGACAAGGTGGGTAGTGGATTAATCTAGTTTAGGCTTAGGTTTTGGAATGCCTAGAGGTGCCAGGAGATCAAGAGAACTGGGCACTCTAGAACTTGGCACTCACTAGCCTCCCAAAGATGGCCGTTTTCCTCCACGGTAAAATAATAGGATTACAGATGCTGGCAAGGCTGTTGTGAAGCTCCAGTATGATCGTGTACAGCATCCTTAAAGCAATACATACATATTGTTGATGATATTGACTGTGAGGAAACGTTCTGGAAAAGGAGTAGAACGATATTACTTTTCTACTTCTGTAGTCTAGAACATGGAAGCGATACCGAGTTTGCAGGAGAGGCCCAAGACTGTTTCATCCTTTTATCCCATCCTTCAAGATAATAATAGGCAAGGCAGCCAGAGGACTATTCTCAGCCACCAAAAAGTAATCAAAGCGTCTGCAATATGACACAAGTAGGTTTTCACTCACTAACAGGAATATGTTATAGACCTGGTATCTATGATAGAGTTTTCTGCATTTTATTCTATCTTTTCAGTTAGGCCTGAATTGACACTTATTTGGACATTAAGCATGACTTCCTTTTCATCCTGTTCTCTTGAAATTCTGAGATTGCATGCTTATATTTGGTAATCTAAACTAATTTGAAGACAACATTTTGCGATATAACAACCATTGTTGAATTCCTATTTTGTTTAGTACAATTATGTATCATTTCTAATGTTTTCTTTACTGTTTTATTATATTTAAAAAAATAAAAAATAGAGTTGGACTCCTGGTACCAAATGCCATGCTGACCCACCCCTAGGCAAACTGAACCAGCCACCGAGTCCAGGCGTGGTGGCGCAGGCCCTGTAATCCCAGCTTTGGGGAGGCTGAAAACAGGAGAATCATTATGAGTCCAAGCTGTGTAGTGAGACCCTGTACAAAATACATAAATTAAAAAATAATTTCTGAGGAATTAAAAAGAGCACACAGATTATTCAAATGACAGGGTTTTTTTCCATTTGTTATTAAGACAGAATTTTTGTCTAATTATGCATCATAAAATAGAACAGCACAAAAGATCCTTACATTTAAAGGTAGTTGAAGTCACACCAAAACAAAAGAGCCTCAACAGCAATAGGAGTAGCATATACTATTACCACCTGTCACAAGTCATCTTCCTGATAATCCAGTGCTTGGTTAACTTCTGTAATTGAAAGTAGGCTTTGGATCTGACATGATGGTGACATTATTCTTTTTGTGTGGTATGATGGAATATTTGTTAATTTGTCAGACATTTAAACTTAACATTCTTAAAACCAGTTTCTGGTGGCACAGAGCCTGCTTGGCAAGCATGAGGTCCTGAGTTTGATTGCAGTACCCAAAAAATAAAAATAAACTGTTGGCTTAAAAAAAACAGGTTTCTGTGCAGCTACCTTTTATAGCCTCTGGCATACTTTTTGTCTTACACAGTGTAAACATAGAATGATTAAGAATTGGACTCTGAAGAAATGTACTCTTAAGAATTGGACTCAACATAAAATGATTCAAAGCAAGCTGCCTGCCTTTGAATTCTGGTTCCATCAGTGTCTTCAGCAAATTAGTCATTCCAAACCGCATTTGGAAAATTGATAAAATAATATTGATATGTTTGGTACTTTTTCTGGCACACTGTAAATACTTAAAATGAGGGTAAGGGAGGTAGCTCAGCAGCATAAGCACCTGCCTGGTAAGTGCAAAGTCCTGAGTTAGATCCCCAGTACAAAAAAAAAGAAAAAAAACTTGCTAAAATGTTCTCTGATACATTTAAATGTTGTAAAAGCTCTATTGAAGTAAAATAATTTTAGTTCACTGAAAAAGAGGTTAAGAATGAAAAATAAACCAACAGGTGAGATTTTCTATATTAAATATGAACAGTCCATAACAGCAATTTTTTTTTCAGAATATATTTATTTATTTTTAGCGGAACCGGGGATTGAACTCAGGCCCTTACACTTGCCAGGGAAGCACATATTCCACTGAGCCATCTCCCTGGCCCTTAAAATGGAATTAGGATTTTTTTTTTTTTTTTTTTTTTTTGCTCCTCGAATGCCTTCAGGGCACTTTTGGCTGGCTGGAGTGCTGTGGGGATCGAACTACAGCAACCTGAGGCTGACAGCTTTCAGAATATATTTATTGAGAGAAAGAAAGCTCCTGTCCCAAGAGAGGGACAGGAGGGGGGCCCAAGCGGGTAGTCCCCACCCCCCCATAACAGCAATGTTGACTCAAGCTGTTCTTTATGTTTTCTCTTTAGACCATCCTTTATGTAATTCTGGGTGATATCAGTGGGCCCTAACAAAACAGTATACCCCTCTAGCGGCCTTGTCATTTAGTATTTATTATGATTTAGAGATGATTATGTAAGATCATTTTTTTGACAAGTTGTAGGACTTTGATTCAATCTTAAGGATAGTTAGGTAAACTTTGGTCCAGCCACTTTCCCTTTCTGAATCTGTTTTTTTTCCTCCTGAAATACTAAGATTTTATTAAATAATCGTCTAAATTCCATTAGAAGTATTATCTATATATACTCAGTGATATTTGCCATTTAAAATCTTTCATCTCTGTCAGAAAGGCCTCACTGAATTTTTCCCTGCAGAGTGGCCTTTTCTGATAGCCTCATGAGCTCTGCGTAAAGCTTGCTTGACAATGTCATATTTATAGTCTTAGTTTTGGGGGCATAATTCCTTTTTTCTGTATTTGGTAGCCCTTGCTATGGCACTTACCTTATTGTACTATGATTTTTAAAAATCCTTTCTCTGATAGGCTTTTGAGTTTGTTCTGGGAAGCATTTTTGTTTTGTTGTGACATAGTGACAATTCACTATGTAGTTCAGGCTGGCCTTGAATTCACTGGAGGCCCAGGCTGGCCTCAACTCATGGCAATCTTCCTAGCTCAGGCTCCCGAGTGCTGGGCTTACAGATGTGCACCACCATGCCTGGCAACAGGCTTTGAGGTCTTAATGGAATTGTCTTGGTGTCCTTTTTGCATAACAGGTACAGGATAATGCCAGGAAAATGACGTAAGTGTGACTACAGAACTGGGTGACTCTTGATACCCATGCAAAATCTAACTGCATGTCAGCTGATACCTCTAAGAGTTGAGGGTTATCCAAGTAAGAAGCATCCCAAGAGTTTAGATTGAATTCAAACAATGAACAGATGCTTTGAATCAAACTAGGAGAGATTAAACCTAAAGGGAGAGTCCAGGTTCTAGTCTGACTTGGAAGTTAATGACTAAAAAATGAGAGGTGGGGACTGAAACCATTGATTTGGGGATTTAGGCACAGTGCTGGCATAAAATTGGACTGTCTGTGTTCTCCTTGTGAGGAAAATCACTCTAGATGTTTACACATCCTGACAGAATTTCTCAATCTCAGGGCCCTGGAAAGGTAAACAAATTTTCTTGGAAAGCTCTTCATGGGGGATGGTGGTTATTTTACCGTTCTTACTTTAAAGGTACACTGCCGCTGAGTGATGGCTCTGTAGTAGAACATTAACTTTCCTCCTTGTAAGATACACCCCAAAACTGTGTGCATCACTAGATTATCTAATGACTTTTCATATCTTAAAGTTACCATTACTTCTCATAAACCAGTATCTCAAGTCCCCTTCCAGTATAGACATATGTATTTTGTTCTGATCCTCTTGAGCCCTAACAGTTAATCTTTACAGGTTAAATTTGTTAAACGATCTTACTCGGAAGGACTGTTTCTAACAATACCAAGGGCACTGGACCCTACTGAACAAAAACATTATGTCAGTCTTCAAACAACACCTGGCTCTCCTTCAAGAGGATACTCTTGCTTTCACTGCATAACAGTTGACAGCTGCAGCTCATCCCAGTTAAATCCCCATAAACTGCAAGGTCTCTCCCTGAGATTCTTCTCTCACCTGTGCCTTGTGTCCACAGACCCCTATCACCATGACTCCCAAACCGTAAGCCTTACAAGTTATTACTCCTTCAGGACAGTGAGTCTCCCTCTGTATAATTCAACACTTTTGTTTTCCCTCACTTTCCTTTCCCTCTAAGGTTTGCTACCTCTAGTTCTCTCCTGATCAGACTTTCTGATCTAAGAAATTTAGAGGTAGTCAGGCCCTTGCTTCTCCAGGATGATGAGTCCCCCTTTTCCTTCACAACTGATATGTGAACAAGTTTGCTTTATGAGTCTTCTCTAAGGTCAGACCTGGCCGGCCAGTTGGACAATCTGGTCCCAGCACTATGGTGGCTCCAAAGTGAAACTAAGTTTCACTTTTCCCCAACTTGCAAAATGCCTCGTCTCTTTGTGGATGGCAAGAAGTCCATCACTATCTGGGTATGCATTTTTATTGGATGCTGTAGTTCAGCAGGACTTGGTGATGGGTTCTGCCCTTTCTGACTCAGCACTGGGCAGCAGTCTTAAAAATTGGTCTCAATTTGTTCCTCACACTCAAGAAAAAGCATGTCATGACCTTTGTGCTAAGGTCAGGAATGGCACTGTAAACTCTTAATGGCACTGTAAACTACAGCAGTATCTCAAACAACTAGATTTCTTCTGTTACAATCAGACAAAAATTCGGAGGTCTCCTCTGTTCAGCATTTATGGCCTTCTTATAGGACATTAGTTCCAAGAAGAGTCTCACATGTTCCTTTCTGAATCCTTTCACATGTTCGTAATGACCTGTTTTGGCCACTATTGTGTCTCTGTCCAACCCTCACACTTAGGGAAATACTGTTGTTTATTTGTAAACAAAATGTTTTTTTTAAATAAAGGAGAAGTCTGGTTAAGACCCCAGGAAACATGTGATGGCCCCTCCTTACAACACAGTAGCAGAGACTAAGCTCTGAGCTCAAGCCTGTGCCAGGCTAACACAAGAGGAAGAGAACTAGGATAAACCTATTAGATGCCAATTCTATCAGGGAACACCACACAAGAAATAGAGATGGAGAGAAAAGGTAATGGGTCTCCAGATGGATCAGGCTGATGCAGAGAATAAATCAGACTGCAGAACAGGCTATCAAGTGGAAAATATGGCTCTTAGGCTACATGCAGTTTTCACTGGGTCCTAGTGTGTTACCAGGCTGGGCTTAGCTCCTGTCCTGGTATGCCAGGAGAAGGGGAATGAGCTTCTTGGTGAGGAGTTAATGAAAGTCCATTGGGACACATCTTGACTGGTCGGTACATTTACCTTTAAATTCTATAGTTTAAGTTAATAATTTTGTCTAATTAACATACCTAAAACATAAACAACTTTAGGATAATTCTTTTTTTGTTTGTTTGTTTTTTTTTATTTTTTGTGTTTGGTAGAACCGGGGATTTAACTCAGGCTCTTGCGCTTGCCAGGCAAGCGCTTATTCTACTAAGCTATCTCCCCAGCTCCACAGGATAATTCTTAATATGCAATTATAGGATTGACTTGTTCCTTTTACTTTCTACTGGTAGTGAAATAATTTACTATTCAAGATTGCTTGAAGATCTGTTGTTCAGTAAATTCTAATGTAAACATCCGTGAATCAACTCTGGGACAAAAGAAAATAAAGTGTATTGCATACATTTCCAAATCCAAAGGGTTTGTGGGGCTTATCACAGAAGAAAAGCAGTCCACCATTTAGACAATATTGCCATCTAAAACCTGGTCCATGTCACTCATACATCTGGTAATGTGTACTTATGGTCATTCACATGGTTTTTCATATGTATAAACAGTCTTAAGGCTTTTTGTTTTTGCCCCTAATGTTAACCTCTGAGGATATAAAAATTTTAAATACAATGCAGCTCTGATAATGAAAAGGATTAATCACCCAATAAATCTATCTGTAAACAAAAGAGAGTTTATTGGTCCTGATATATGACAGTCCTGATTGTTATCTTAAATGCTACAGAAGTGAATTATCTCTTTTGACATCTGCAGTTACGTTTCTTTTCTGAAACATTTTCAATCAAATTCATGAAAAGGACTCAGAATTGTTGTATAAGCTCTGTTTGTTTTGCTCTGATTGGTTTTCTTTTAATATATTTGTAATTTATATACAAATATATTTGTAATTAGCCAAGGAGATAGCTCAGTGGCATAAACAGCTGCCTGGCAAGCATAAGGTCCTGCGGTCACTCCCCAGTACCACAAAAATTAATTAATTAATTAAAAATTCTACAGAAGTATAACTCCTAAGAGTAATCTGGTCCAACATGGTTAGATGTTGACTATCACCTACAAAACAGATAAAATAAAATTTAGCAATGGACTCCAGGTAAATTTGGCTTAACTACTTTGTGTGTGTTGTGTGTGTTTGTGTGTGTGTGTGGTACTGGGGATTGAACTTGGAACCTTGTGCTTGCCAGGCAGGTGCTTATGCTGCTGAGCTATCTCCTCAGCCCAAGAACCACTTTTTAAGAATCTCTTTGTTGTTTGAATGTATCTGAAAGGAGCCATAAGACTGACTTTGAATTGACAATCTTATCCCTCTAATGTGGGACCAAATGAGACCAACAACCAGACCAGCACTTTGGCAATGAAGAACAGTAGAAATAATGATTGGTCAGTAATACCTTCAAAAAACTTGACAAACACAAGAGGGGATAGAAGGAAAGCATGAGTAATGTCAAAATCATGACGGAGTCAGTTGTGTCAGCCCTCCCAGAAGAGAAATTGAATCAAGAGGTTATCTGTCATTAGTTTTTTCTCATTACTAAGAGAAAATACCCAACACCCCAAGTAAAGGAAGGAAGTGGTTATTTAGCTCATAGTTTGTTGAGGTTTCAGTCCATAATTTGTTGACTCCAGGGCAGGGTGTCATGGCAGAGGGGCAGTCATTCATGGTGGTGGAAGACAACAAAAGCAAAAGGGAGGCGCAATTCTCTTTTTCCCCCTTACATTGTATGCAGTCTACCTACCCTAGGATGAAGGTGGCACTCATATTCCTGAATCCCAGTACTAGACCATGACCAAATCACAAACTTTAGATTCATTCACCTCCCAAAAGCCTGCTCCCATGAAAACATGAGGCTTTCAGGGGACGTCCACAAAGCCTTACACATGAGTGTTTCATAAATGTCATAAATGTTAAGAAAACTCTGCCAAAATCACATTTATCCTGAGTTAGTTTAAGTCAAATTCACTGGACTGCCAGTAAAGAAAAAAAATTTAGCTTCCTGCAAGTACATTTTCATTTACTATTTATACACATTTTATACATCAGTAATGATCTAATGATGTTCACAATCCTTTCCACTCAGCCTCTCAGTCTATATGCTTTTAGAGAAGGCTATTTGAAGTGTTCGCTTCTGACCCATCCACATTGACCACTGATGACTCAGTAAACTCATTGAAGTACTTGTAACCCATTGTCTTCTAGAAGCAGATGGGGAAGAAAAAAAGTCCATCTGTGAAATATTTGACTTTGTTGATCTGTTAAGGTGGAAATATGGAGGCTGAACTTGCAGAAAACAAGTTAATCTACAGTGGCAGTACTGTTACAGTAAACCCAGCCTCTTTCCTCATCAGGCTTCTCTTGTACTAATACTAACATGTGCTCAGTGACAATTAGTACAGGCCAAATGGCACATAAAAGTAAATAATAAGTCTTTGAATTGAAACAAACATATTTCTTCCTAGTGGCCTGTTCATAAGTGTTGTCTAATGTGAGAACCAAAGAAGTGACCATGTCAAACTGTCACCTTTAATATATAAAAAAGCTTTTGGACTCCTAGCCTGACCCCCATCTTGAGGCAATGATGCAAGAACATATGCCACTAAAATATTAGTATGAAACATTGTCATTCAGTGTTTGACTGTATACAAAAAGAATGAACTGGCAAGTATCTAGTTTCAAATTAGATCCTTGAAGTACAGCAAAATAGTTATCTTTGCTTTATACAATTATTCAAAGTACATTTTATTAGAAGGGAAGAAAATAATTGGACATTCTCAGTGCTCCAATTTGAAGTGATACTTGCCTCTTAGTTTCTTGAAAAAGCTTTGAAAGTTATATACATAGGCTTCATTTAAATTATCCAGCAGTCTATTAATAATAATGTCCCAGATATTGTTTAATGAGGAGCTCCACCATTAGATCAAGTATGGTATTTCGTAACTATAACAGTGGTGATCACTAGCAAAAGGACAGCAGCAACCAAGGCCATGGTGGCTTTTATTTTGCATCCATGCCACCACATTTGCCTTCGTAGTTGTTTGGATCTGTTGCTAAAAGCACTTGCATTATCCAATAAGCTTTCTGACTTGTCCTGTAGTTCGTCGAGTCTTTCCCCTCTTTCAGTTACCTTTGTGATATTTTCTTGCATGACATCAATAACTTCATCCATCTGATTCAGAACATGCTTGATGTTATCATTTCTAGGTCCAAATCTTGGTCCAGATGGTCCCCTTAGAAAAAAGTCCTCTTCTTCATCTGAATCATCTTCCAAAAGATTATTCCTTTCACTTTTCACAGAACCAGTGACATCATCATTTAGGTGGTGCTTAAATTTGGGAGGCATACTTTTTACTCTTGGAGTACATTTTCATTTCTCACTACCTGAGACTCCGGGGAGCTCTCGGCAGCTCTCTCTGGCACGTGGCTGGTGGGTGGCCGGGGAAGAAGCCGGGGCAGAAGAAGACTGAGGAGAGAGGGAGACTGTGAGCGAGCACCTGGCAACGGCCCCGCTGTGCCTGAGCTGTGTCCCCGCTCTCCCTCTATCTTAGAAGGTGGCCAAGTGCTATTCTGGTTTAACTTGAATTTCCAGTGTTCCTGAAAATATGTACTGGTCTTAAGATTTCTTAAAGGAACAAAGTCATTGTGCTCATCCGTCCAAATTTTTTGAGCTTGTTGCTTTAGTAGTATGATTTCTATCTAGTTCTTTGGGCTTTGCTGGGTTGTTTATTTCTGTACCATAAAAACTATTCTAGGGGCCAAGGAGATGGCTCAGTGGAATAAGTGCTTCCCTGGCAAGTGCAAGGGCCTGAGTCTAAACCCCAGTTCTGGAAAAAAAAAAAAAAAAAAGAGACTATTCCACTGATTGTGTGAACTAAAATATGTATTCGCATTAACTAATTCCTGCTTTGCTGCTACCAAATGTACAACCATTTCCATTTCATATTAAAATAACAGGAACAAGGGGCTGGGGAGATGGCTCAGTAGAATAAGCACTTCCCTGGCAAGCACAAGAGCCTGAGTTCAATTCACCATTCTGCCAAAAAAATAATAAAAAAAAAAATAAAATTAACAGGAAAAAAAATTAACAGGAACAAATGATTCAAAAGTTAACAGTCTACTGTTTTTAGTTTTTTAAAATGATGCTTATTTTGAGGTATTTGTTTTTCTTTTTCAGTGTCGTTCTTCCTCTTCCTCAGAATGTAAAGGATTATTTACTAGATGATGGAACTCTGGTGGTTTCAGGAAGGTAAAGTATATCAGAAAAAGAAATTATTTAAACTTTATCATAAAGAACACTATAGTGAGTAAATCTGGACATTTACCATGTAAGAATAAATTAGCTTGGGCATCATTCTCTCAATCATTTAGATCCTTTTTTTCCTCTTAGCTAAAGATATATGCTGATCTTTGTCTTATATTTCTTGTCAATGTTCAGTTAAAATTTTCAAAATTTAGTATTTCTCTAGCTGTAATAATTAGTAGTGAAATTGCAGTTTCCTTCATTTCTGCTTTAGAGAAGGATTGTGTAGATACATTCATGTTTTGTCTTAGTTACTTTTCTTGTTGCTCGGACAAAATGTACTCCAAGAGTAAAAATATGTAAAGGAATGTAAATCCTTTACATTCTTGTTGCTGGGACAAAAATAATCTCCAAAGATTATTTGGCTTACAGTTTATAGAAGTTGCAGTCCACAGTTGGCTTGCTTCAAGGCAGAGTGGCACATGGCAGAGGAGCTTCACAGAATGTTGCAGATAGAAGATAGCAAAAGCAAGTAATGGATAACTACAGCTCATTCTACCTTTATATGTTATCCAGGCTACTTAAAGCAGGTGACACTCACACCTTAGTGCCGTTAGGCCTACTGTTGCACTATGAATGGAGCCCAGCATCACACACTCTAGATCCATCTACCTCTAAAAAAGCTCCTCTATGATTGCATGAGGCTTTAGGGGGACATCTAGGTAAAAGCCATAACACATTCTGAAGGTAGCAGGGTGAAGGATAGGATACACTGTAACCCTTTGAGATCCTTCAGTTGTTAAGGTAAAAGTTCAGTAACTTTATAAACTGGAAGCTTCACTAAGGTTTATCATTTAAGTCCTCAGCATTGTTTCCCACAGTTGATCTACCATGACTCTTCTACCTCCTAGAAACTGTTCAGGAGTTCCCTATTTGTAGGGTAAAGGGAAAAAGTTAGGTTTCAGTCTTTTTAGTGCAAATTTGAGGGAGTTTATTTTTTTTTCTTGAATATATATATAATTTTTTTTTTTTTTTTTTACAAGAGCACAAATGCACTTTTATTTTCCATTAGTTTAAATTCTTGAGGAGTACATCACACAGATTCGGTATCCGATGGCCTTAGCAGGAAGGTTGCTTCGGAACTTGGCACGAACCATGCCACTGTTTCCATGGACCCAAGTTACTTTTCCCCAGATCACTCTGGTTTTTGTTTGGTTTGCCACCTGTGGTCACTGTGTTGTTTTTCGATTTGTACACATAAGCTCATCTCTTGCCCAAGTAGAATTGTTTCATCCCGGGCATAAGCACCTTCTATTTTAAGAAGAGCTATGTGTTCCCTCTGGTTCTGGAGACCCTGCTTATAGCCAGAAAAAAATGGCCTTGTACCACAGTTTTCCAGACAATATTTGCCTTTTAGAAGTCCTGTTCCCAGCAGGCCTCCCCAGGCTCCAAGATGGCAGAAAAAAGCTTTTCTTGAATATTAAAAACACAGCCTTTTCAGTCCCATGGGGGTGGTGAGGAGAGAAGGAATCTTTTTAATGTGACATAACAAAGTGCCACTCACCCAGAGTGTTTTTATAGTGAGAAGGAATAAAAAGATATTATATATAATTTGCTTGTGTATAGTAAACATCCTTCGAGTGACTGGTTTAAAAATAATTATTTTAATATTACTGTGCTTTTTCAGATTCAATATTCTAGCTATGGCTTGAAAATAAAAACTGTTGGGGCCGGGGAGATGGCTTAGTAGAATAAGCGCTTCTCTGGCAAGTACAAGGGCCTAAGTTCAATCCCTGGTTCCACCACAAAAAAAAAAAAGAAAGAAAGAAAAGAAAAAAACTATTTTCAAGTGTTTAGGTTCCCACTATGGAACTATATGGTAAAAGACAATAGGTTGTCTAACTTGATCATCAAAAAATACCTTCTATCTAAGTTTGCCCAATTTATAGTAAAACTCAAGTAGAAATTTCTCTTATATTGAGATTTGCAGACACTCTTGAATTTAGTTTTCTGTTCTTAGGCTGTATCAGGAAGAACAAAACATTCAAAGGTCAAAGATTCCTTTCAGTAAAATAAAACCACTAGTCTTAGAATGTTGTCATCAACTTGAAGTTCATCACTCTTTAATTTTTTTTTTTTTTTAATGTATTTAGTACAGGGTCTACAGGGTCTCCCTACACAGATTGGACTTGTAGTGATCCTTTCTGTTTTTCATCCTCCCAAGTGGAAAAAATTTAAAAATCATTGGTGGTTCTTGTGGTTTGGGAGGGAGGAAGTTGCTAGGGTTCCAGTTCAGGGCCTTACGCATGCATGCAAGATAAGTGCTCTACCACTGACCTGCATCCCCAGCCCCATGAACCTAGAAATTCCTATTTTTCCATTCGGGCCTATGACTTTAAATTATGTCATTTAAATGTGTGTCCCTCACCCTCCTCTCTAAAATAGCTTAATAGTAATCCCGGCTCATGTATCACTATCTCTTGACTTCATTTATGTTTCCATCTGACATACTCTTCTTAAAATTATGTGTTCTGTTTAACTACAGCTTCATGATTTCACCCCAACTCTTGGAATAGTTCCTGATACATAAAATGTGCGTGGTGAACATTGTTAGATGAATGAACCTTAGACATGTGACTACAATTGTTTTCAGTGAGACTAACTTGATCCCATATTTTTGCCTGGTAGATTTTTAATGTAGTCTTCTGGATTGGATTTCTGGTTTGGAAAATTTATAGCCCCTTAATCTAAAACATTATTAGTATAGAGCCTTATTAGTCTGGAATAATTGAGGTAACAAAAAGGTAGATAATGTAGGTAAGTCTCAACTTTGAGGTATTTACAGGTATTCTCTCAAATATGGCATGTGTAATAACCTTACATAGATAAAAATATAGTATAAGTAAAATATTAGAAAATATTGATAGAGTTTTGTACTGTAAACACTGAAGAGCCAGATGCTGATTTTCATTGATCAAATGTTTGGATGAACATCTAGCTTAGGCAAACACTGTTAAATAGTGTTGGAGCTGGGGTTATAATATGTGAAGTGGTAGAACAGTTGCCTAGCAGGCACAAGGCTATGGGTTTGATTCTTAACACCTCAAACAATATCAACAAAGTTGCTGCATCAGCATTTCAGTAGCACACGTTGCCATAAAACCCCTTTGGGGTTTATGGTTCGGCTTCATATGTTATGGGAGTGAAAACTGTAGTGCTGATTCATTAGCCAGATTGCCTAGGGTCAGGTTATATCCTTGCTGTTTTCCAGCTCACAGTGACTCAGTTTCTTTGTAAATTGGACAAATGATAAGGTAGAACTTATGTAACTCTTGGGTTGTTGCAAGAGTAAAAAGCAATCATGTGCAAAATATTCAGCCCAATTCCCAGTGTAGTATATATTACTGGGCAACTTAGTGAGACTCTGTCTAAAAAAAAAAAAAAAAAAATTGGAGCTATAACTCATTGTGAAGACTATAGGTCCAGCCTCCCAGTACTGGGAGAAAAAAACAGAAAAGAAAGAAATACTGGGTGTTCTCATCATCATTGATCTTAGTTGGCACAAACACAGACACATCTATCAATGTGAAATTGAGACTCACCCCCCTGGGGAAGATCACTTAAAGTCACTGACTTTCATTTGGCAAGTGAATTGTGTAAGGGATAGGGAGTATCCCAAAGAAGGAGATTTTGAGCCTTTTAGATGTGAATGTTGGGAGACTCTTCCAGGCTGAGGGAACAGCGTTATTGCGGGCTCAGAGATGTGGAGGATCTCAGTGCATCAGAAAGTAGGGGAACGTTGTGTGCGTGGGGCACGGAGGGAGCTCCTGCCAAATAGCAGAACTGAGACATCTAAACCATCTTTCTGCATCCACAGCCCCTGCTGTTATCTACAAACTTTGTGCAAGATGTAATACAGATAACACAGAGTCCCAAATACTAGCATTATACTTTTATCATTTTAGTCCTCAGTATGTAGAGGGATACCTTAGAAAACCAAGCCTAATAAACTTGCAAATTTGAAAATGTCATCATGTTTTCCAAGGAATAAATTTTGTAGCATACCCCACCATTACATGTGATAAATTCTCTGAGAAACTATGAATATTCTGACTATAAATACATTTGTAAAATATATTCTTAGTACTCTTAAGTGATTTATAGACCAATAAAATACATTTCAAATTTGGGGGGTACCTTTCATATTACAGTATCAAGTAAGCCATAGTACAGGTAGTACTGCCCTTAAAATATGTGGCATATGAAGAAATAGGTCAGCAACTTGACAGGATTTATAAGTTGATGGTGCATGGGTATTAACACCAGTACAGTGTCTGGTTCTTAGTGTTGTGGATCTAGAAACTCAATTCTTTACGATTACAAAATGTTGATTGAAGTTTGGTGAAATAATGCACATTAACCAAAATCACAACAGGTTGATCAGTAAACCAGAGTGTAGATTTTTAGTTTAAAGAGGAAAATATGTCTTTCCAATGATTGTTAGTACTTGGACGAACATATTACATAGTCAAACCTGAACTCACTAGATTATCACTCTCTGTACCTTCATATATCTTAACAATGTGATTATATCATTTCTTAATTTTTTTTCATATTTCTTGATTTTGTATTATGAATTTTGGAGACTTAACTTTTTTACACCTTCTTTATCCCTCATAATTTTTGATTAAGTCAAATTTTGATTAAATCAGTCAATATTACAGTATTGCCTTGTTGGTGTTAACTCCTGAGCTGTGGAGTAATGTGTAATATGATTACCTTCTTATTTGACAATAATTTTTTCCTGGAACTAGAAATCATGTTTTAAATTTTTGCTTAATTTTCTGTATGTCTGTTAGTAATATTTTGCAAATATTCCAATAGACAAAAATACACTATTATTTTTCTAAGCCTCAGAATATACAATTGTCCCTCACTTTATCATGGAGTTTACATTCCAGACACCCCCACAGTAAGTATCAGCAAAGTAGTGATGTTATATTTAT